GTCCTTGTCCTTGACGCGGAGAATCTGCTGTTGGAAGGTCATGATTTCTTCGAAGGATTGACGCGATGTGATCGAGTAGATGAGCAAGAAGCCCTCGCCGGTGCGCATGTACTGTTCCCGCATTGCCGAGTACTCCTCCTGACCTGCCGTATCAAGAACGTCCAAGAGAGCGACCTCATCATCGATAACACACTGCTTGCGGTAGGAGTCTGGAAACAGAGAAAAGCACGGATGATGAGCAATTTGATCCGGGTTTGCTAGCTCGGGAACTCGTCCGGTTGGGACGGAAGATCCGCAGCTCACCTTCAATTGTAGGGTCGTACTCGTCCACGAAGTGGCTCTGGATCAGCTGGATCGTCAAGCACGATTTTCCGACACCACCACCGCCGACAACCACCAACTTATACTCTCGCAGGAACTAAGGCGAGGGACGAGGGTTAGCCATTGAAATTGATCTCTCGTGCAGTCCGGTCACGACAGATGCAAGGTCTGCAGCAGGCTGGAGGTCTATGCCTCCAGAGCCTCAAAGCATAGCGGAGCTTTTGATGTAACGATCCGGAGGGGGCTGGCTAGGAAGGGGTCCTGGCGGTCAACCAAAGGCAACACGCTGGCTCACCTTGGAAGCCATTCTGGCGAGCAATCGATGCGAGTCACGGAAAGAAACCGAAGGTCGATGAAGCAGATGATTTTAGAGACGACGATCGGAGGATCTCAAGGAATTTGCGATCCGAGTAATGTTTTGCGATCGCAAGGGTTCAGGAGCGAACCGAAAATTGTGCCGGATCAGCGAAGGGGAAAAAGGCGGTAGGGGAAAGGAGGGAGAAAGCGCGCGCGAGAGAGTGAAACTGCGGGTAATCGTCGAGTTCAGCTATTGGGGGAGGGCGGGTCCTAAGCAGGAGATTGTTGACAGAGGGGAGGGGGACGGATTGGGGAAGCGTAGGAGGAGAGTTGAGGTTTGAGGGGAGGGAGGTTCGAGGCAGAGAGAGCGAGAGGGTCGATTAGGGGCAGTTCAACGGGAACCAAATGGAGGGAGCTTCTTTGCCGGGTGGAGTCCTCCAACGAACTGGACTGGGCTTACTCTATCATTTTCGAGTTTATCTGAGTTTGCAATATTAATTCGCATTTTGATTATGAACGGATTACGGGATCAATCAGAGCAGCACCAATTTAAATTTAATTTCAGGCGCATTTGGGAGAGTATAGGGAGAAAATAGCCCTGGAGTTCGCATCCATTAGATGGGCATCCGCCGTTCGTTGAAGCTAACTTTTATAGGTGACCCCAGGTGAGCTAAAGAAAAGCAACAAAATATCTAGTAGAGGTGATCCTCGATATTTATGATTCTCCATGTGCGTAGCAAGAGAGAAAAAAAAAAGAAGGGGTCGAGAAGTCGAGAAGTCGAGAAGGGGGAGGACCGGGTCAATTCAGGAGATCGTAAAGGGTAGTGGAGCCCATTTTAACTGGAGGGAAAGTGGTTGTTGGGCCGAAAAGGGGAGGGGAGCAGAAGGTTCTCTTCCATTTCCTCGACGTGTCTCGGGAATGTGTTCTATCAGATAGTTTCTACAGTATAGTATCCGTGTCCACGTTCCATAGGTGTGGACGAATGGTTGTTTTCTTTTTTGCTGCTTCTCTCGTGCCTGCAGGCCAGCTTCTTAATGGAAGAAGCTCGCCCGTTGTATTTTTTCGTTTTTGTTTTTTCTCTCCCGTGCTCAGAGTAAGAAAAAGGTGCTAACTGCGAAGAGTAGCGCGAGAGAGTTGCTAATATAGAGTGAGGTTTGGTACGCTACTTCTCGGCGGCGGATTGATTGGCCCAGGCCTTGGTTTCTCCCCCCGTTGGGAACGGGCCAGGCGATATTAGTTCTTTGACCATGACCGGGGCCCCCCGAACTATCTCTCGGTAAGGATTAAACCAAAACACACACAGACTACGCTTCTCGGGGATGTCGAACAGGAATGGAGAGTTGTAGCACGGAGTACAAGTTGATGAATAGGAACACACTAACCACAGTCTCTAGTCTCGACTCCATGTTTCGACTTTCTCCTACCCCTCCGCTCGGATTCCTTCCTCCAGACGTTGGTGGAGCGCCTCCTGGTGGGGCCTGCGAAGGCGCTTTAGGGTATCGGGCTTAGTTCGCACCCCTAGCGCGCCGTGATGTTGTGACGGGGCGCACACAGTCCAGAATAATCCGCTGACTCGGATGATCCGAGAGAGGTAGTGTGGAGGCACATCGGAGACTTGGGATAGGCGATTCATGAGCTGTAAGTCAATGTGGTGATGATAGATGGAGACGTAGGGAGTATATACATCTAGTGTCGGGTCTATGGAGTACACTACACAATTAATTGTGCGAGATATATACAACGCTTCCTAGGGAGACCCACTACTAGGTAATCATTGAATAAATACCTGAACTGTTCAAGGTCATCATCATCGAACGATCCGTTCGCTTGGCTTTCTATTGCGGAAGGCTTGCAGATTGACACCTTACAGCCCGATTGCATCATTCCAAAGTGACGGTTTGTCAACCAACTACCATGAGCGTAGCTTCTTTCTTTTTTCTTGGGCTTAGAACACTTTGATCTTCCTAGGCGCATCATCATCATCAGACCGCTAAACCCAACTCCTCCGTAAAAGGGTGAAATCAACAACCTCCTCTGCAGCATAACTCGGAGTTTTCCGCCATCTGCAGTCAGACCTCTTCCCCGGAGATGATCATCCCATCACTTGAAACCCGGATCGCGCCGTGATATCTGCGCAATTGTGCAGATCAGCAAACCGGAAACTCGATTCATCCCACCTTTTTCTTGCAAACTTTCCCGTCTCCGCCTCCTCCACATTTCCCGCAGTACGCAGGGGATCATTATTCCGATGCAAATAAGGCGCTACCACGGTATTTACTGATGTACACGACAAGAGAACAGGTGAGAGAGAGAGGGAAATGCACGTTCAATATCCATGATCAGTCAAAAATGGAGCTGTGCAACGGTTGATCTCTCTGGCTTACAAGGCAGCCACCCTGCCTGCACGTCCACGACTCGCTGGGATTCTGGGCAGTCTCGCTGCGTGCAGAGTCACATTCGGGATTTACATCTGCATCGAGATTTTTCAATCACCTCTAACTGGATATTGGGAAGAGTTCCTCCTAGTCCATCCGGCCGGATACCGATAATGATCATCTGCGACGGGGAATTTCTATGTCTCCAAGCTTCTTTCGTTGACTCATTTCCACCATTCGCCATTATAGTTTTGATACATAACCATCTCGCTCATATAGATGTCTCCCGTGGTCGGATAATAAAATTACGAGGGATCGACCGGCCGGAAACTGATGAAGATCCAAGGCTTTCCCATCTCGGGCCCTAGACTCCCTTAAACGAGAGGGGACAAAGCGGCTACTCTTCCATGGATGTCGGAAGGTCAATTCTGTGTTGCCGGCATTCTGGAAATTCTACGACCCGTGCAGGGATTACTTTATCTTTGCCTCATTGAATTATTAGTTGGTGATGCAAGCTGGTTGTTATGTGAGGGACCCGGTCGGCTAAGGCGTCAGATTTCTCCTGTTCTGCACGGGGGTTTGCATACCGAGGCTGCAGTAGAGATGCTCAGCCTTGCAGAGGGGGCGGGCATATGTATGTACAGCAGATCGGCCTCCTTGATATGATCGATCAATCACCCGACAAGCCACAGTAGACGCACGGTCAGTGACACCTCACCCTCCTGCGGGCGTCGGAATACCGTAGGGAACCCGGTTCATCCGGGACTACTATAGCTTAACGGGCACGTATATGTTCTATTTTAGAATTGACCGTGACGGAGACCGTTAGCTATTCAGGCGCCTCTGGCAGCATCATGAAATCAATAGCGGAACCTCGGGCGCCTAGATAGACTACTAATTGAGACGCTTAATCAGTTGTCGAACCAATACCTACGTAATAGACAACGACCTCCGCCCCGGATGTGAGGCTGTTTAATGATCTGGTAACCGAACCTACGGCCTTGAAATACATTGTGCCCACCTCGGACGTCCGAGACTGATACGATGGATCCAAAGAATCCCAAATGTGGCTGACTAGCGGTCTGCATCCTTCAAGCTCCGCTATAAGCAAATTGCCATCGTTCAGGCATCTATGCACCACCCAGAGACCACCAGGTTCGATTTTGAATAGGGCGCTCATCCATCCTCCCATGGAGAATTATAACAATTATTACAGTCCAACGGTATGCAATATAGCATGTATCTGCCACAAATGTCAAAACATGAATTCCAAACTGCCACGTCGAGACCGTTAGTCTGGACTACATTCAAAACGATGCGCAAATATCGCAGTCATGACTCAATTCATCTTATGGACCTCGTTCTTGTTGCATCGCTGATGTTCATCAAGATCTTTACTTCTGTCAGCCCTAAGCAACATCAAGCCCAATGATATGGTGCTTATACTGCCATGATAACTGACCGATACATGGGGACCTCAGGGTTTCTATTATGTGGAGAATTAAATGATTCTCGGTATCAAACCGGCTTACGGTGACCAGGCAGCCCATCAGCATCGCCATAGGCCTGCCAACTCACGCCTCGGAAAATTCCCGACACGTAACTGAAACCCTGCGGTATCTGCACGTTCTCCGACGCATGCAGGTACAGCGAAGCAGTATTATCAACGCCGATAATGTGGATAGCCAAACACAGAAATCTCTTTGGAACTTGAGGTGGCCATCGTGCAAAATCTGCCTTGCTTTGGTGAAGCCACCGGTCAAATTTTGAACACATTTGCCTCATCAGATACAAAGACCCCAAAACAAGACGGAAAGGCTTGAATATGTTTCCGGTAGAGATTACGTGCATATGGCCTTTCCTTGATCCACTCGTCCCACGTGGCGAGGCTTTCTTGAACGCAGCAAACACTTGACCGGGAAGTAGGCCAAACCCCAACTTTGGTGCTCGTCTGCTGAGGCAATCTCTAAACCTTGAAATAATTACGTTCTGTATCCTATAGGCACCAGATATGCACCCTTCCCCATTTGATGTGCGAGATAAATGATCGTTTTATACATATTGACTTCCATTTGTTCTGGTTATTCTGAACGCGTTCCTGCATGATATTCAGTAAACAGTCCGCGGTAAATATAGACTCGGCGACTGCGATATATGCTGTTAAGATTGAAGACAACCATATTAGGTATGCCTGTTAATATTTACTTCAATCCACATGATGGCACTAGTCTGCAGCCCAGATAACACCGCGTCAATGCCTTTGTGAATTCATATAAGGTGTAACCATGAACAATTATGGATGCGATCTATCTGTATCATCTCTGTCTCCCAGCACGGGAGGTTTATTAAGACTTGCGGTGCATGACACCAGCGCCGGCCTGTCGAGTTTGTTAGCTAAAGCAGTCCTTCAATTGTCAACGATGCGGGACTGGTATATACCTGGTGGCTAGGGTAAACTAGGGTATCGGCAATGACGACGTTCTCACGACGACTGGCGGCGAAGACGACAACCTCGGCAATGTCGTCACCAGTAAGAGGCTCGACACCCCTGGGAGTTATAGGTTAGCCTTAATCGGGGAATTTCCAATCGATGTAATGGAGGGGAATTTACTTGTAGACAGCATCGGCCTTCGACTTGTCGCCGTAGAATCGCACAACAGAGAATTCCTGAGCTTGAATTAGCACCTGCTTTAAAAGTGAAAAAGTGAAAAACAAGATGGATGGCATGCGTACAGTCTCAACTTGACCCGGGTCAATCTCGATAACACGGATTCTCGTGGCGATAAGCTCCTTGCGAAGGGCATCGGTGAAAGAACGAACGGCAGCCTTGGTAGCACAGTAAATACTACCACCGGCATAAGGCTCACGACCGGCAATACTTCCAATGTTGATGATATCGCCACGGCCGCCCTCGTCACGCTTCTTGAAGATGGGCAGGATGGCCTGGGTCATGTTGATAAGACCGGTGACGTTGGTGTTGAACATGACACTGATATCTTCGGATGCAATCTCGGGAGCCTGCGCGACACCCTTGACAAGACCACTGCATGCATAGTGATTATTAGCATCTCGACTCGGGCTTCAAGTCCTCTAGCCCCGCTCCTTTCGCATGTGACTCACGCATTGTTGACAAGCACATCAATCTCCTTGAACTCGACGGGCAAAGAGGGCACAAAGTTCTTGATCTCCTCCGGGTTGCTGACGTCCAGCTTCACAGGAAGCACCTTGACGCCCTCGCCGACCTCCGCCTTAATCTCAGCCGCGAGCTCATTGAGTGCCTCGAGACGGCGCGCAGTCACGATGATCTTGAGGTTGTTGGGCGAGGTACGTGCAAACTCCTTGGCAGTGCTCTTACCGATACCGGAAGAGGCACCAGTAACGAGGATAGTCTTGCCTTCGAGGCGCTTGGCCATTGCGGACGCCATTGTTCGTCGGATAAGCGTGGGGTGAACGGCTAGATTGAAGGGATTGTTGGGTCTTGCAGAACTTGCTGATGTGGAGTAGGGGTGGGAGAGCTGTCGGAGGAATTGAATTGGTCTACCGCACGTTCGGAAAAGGCTCATGGATGTCAATTATCAAGTCAGGACGAATTGCAAAGAAAACAGAAGAAGATACCCCCGCGGCGTGCGGGGATGGCGCTTGCGCAATAACGGGTTATGTAAGCGGCTCAACATTGCGGCGGGTTTTCGGTCTTTATGCCGAACTCTCGGCATCCTACCAAAGATAATAGTTACGGTATAAAACTGAGCCTGGTGTGTTATAGATTTGAAGTCCTACTACTTGAATTCCTTGTATATCGCTAAGTAATCTCTGGGCTTGATTTGCTGATTGCACCGCTTGATAGTTCGCTGCCTATAGACGGCTCTTTCGTCTATCTCAACAGACTAGATCCGGAATAGTCTCCCGTCTATAATTACCTAGATTGAAAAGAAAGCGTCTAGGATTGATAATAAGGTAGCGACTCTACCTTATGGCTAGATATTCCAATTCCCGATGCTCTCTGTGTATTGACTTCTACAATCTTTCCAAAGACCATTCTACTATAATTGTTCGAGACATCCTGGATCACACACGATGATTCCTGACAAAGAAGAATGCATTGTGTCAATCTTGGCCCTTCCGGTTTGTTGGGTACAATGTGACTAGTCCAAGGGAAGATAAAGCTCATTGTTCCTATGAAATTTGAGATAAACATAAACTGAAAATAATGTTTATCAATGTCTTTGTTGTTACGATGTACTTTCTAGTCCTATTGTCGTGCCAAATTTGGAGGACGACATGTGCTAACGATAGATCATGTGGACAAGTATATATTCCATGACTTCGGCTCTCTTGACGGGATTCTCCAGAGTTTTCATAACACTACCATCCTGTGGACAGTTTGATTCTTCCAAGACCTCCGAACTTCACCCCTTTCTGAAGAGGGCTGCTCTCACAACCGCGCCTCACCCAAACTCATTCTTTAGCTGCAAACCTCTCACCGGCCGTTATTCAAAATGCCTGCAACAGAGTCTGTGACCTCACCAGAGGAATTCCATTTCGATTTTGACTGGGCAGACGATGTCGAAGATGGGCTCCAACGACAAGAATCTCACGACTGGGACCTGTGCCACGCCGCCGAGGAATACTTAGGTGGTGAAGATTTAGAAGCTACAAGCCATGGTACGAGTAACATTGATTTTGAGAGAGACGTTGAGTATATTACGGGGGCTGACATTGCAGACCATGATACAAACATCGTGAGCATTCCATCGACTGAAGAAGTCTCACCCACACAACGGCCGCGTCGTGGAATCGCGCAGGAATTTCGTGGACGTGACTCCGCCGTGTCTCACGACGAAAACATCCACCACTTCAACTGGTTCGGAAATGCAGTCTACCATCCTAGCTTGACAACCCCCGCCGAGTCCCTTGCCATCATTTTCAGTGGCCCCAAAGTTCCAAAAGAGAACGACAAGCTCCGGATCGCGAGCATCCTTCGTCGAGCCTTTCAATACCTGGACCCTGTGGTGGTAAGTTTTGAGAGAACCAAGAAACGATTTCTCAAGCGTCGAGGCTCCAGCTTACAAACTGCAGCAGAAGGTCACGTTTTCAAGTTCTACACACCTCATGGCCGGTGGATGGTAGATTCAAATGTCCTTCACTCTGAGTTGATATTAAGGGATGCAGATACTCAGTATGACTACCTCGGCTCTAAATTCTCTGTTGGAAACGGCTTTCAGAGCTTCAGCTTAATTCCAACCAGGTCGAACTGGCGCTCAGCTCGACGTAAAATCATTCGATCTCAGCAACGCACGTCGCCCCGGAAGAATAATTGGTCCCCACCTCCACCATCTCCCCTCCGACAGTCCATGAGTTTATCCGGTAGTGTCGCAAAGGATTCAAGCGAAATTCCTGCGACACGCAGGCTCAACGGCTATCCATCGGTTCAACATCGCCGTTGAGTGTTTAAACCACCAGCCATTCCCATAGTCGAGTCCCAAAGCACAGACAGAAGCCGGTAATGCATTATCTACCGTTCAGTACCTCCACTTGAGTTCTATCAAATTTAACAGCGGCGTAGGGAATACATGATAAAGATAGCTGACAAGACTGTGAACTCAATTAAAAACATCTTCCAGCCCCCCAAGTGAGGTTTATAGCCCTCTTTGTGGCCCCCTTGGGTTCCATCATTCCTGTCACGCATCTTTTTGACCATGCCATGAGTCAAATCAATCTTCTTTTCAAAATTTCCTCTCGGTACTTTTGTAGTCCATTTAGAGATGAGTTGTAATCAAGTCATGCTACGTACACGGCCCGCATCTGGGCGAAAAGCATGAATGGTGATTCAAAGTCAGACTTGTAGATTTGTAGCTTTTGAGGGTAAAAAGATTATCCCTATTAGCCAGTTGATGAGAAGCCGCTGTTGGGGTTGTAAGACAACGCATACAGAGAAATGGTGAATCTAATTGACTGAGGCTTTTTTTTCTTTTCTTTATATTGTTCTTAGGATCCGGTCTTCCCTCCCCCCAATGAGCAGAGCAGCGATGTGCGTAAAGGCAGTCAGTGTATTCCCCACGTTCTGGCTTATCCGTCGAAAAAGACGTCGTTTATCCAGCACTATTTCCGAGCTTGATTGTAATTTGGGGCTAAAGTGGAATACCCCGGAATAAACCCCGTCCCTTACCGTTGAAGCGGCACATGTGGGGTCAAACTTCTCGCCCGGGGAGGAACTTTTGTTTAAAGACCGGGGGTTTTCCAGGATAGATTGGGATTAACATGACATCGATCTTGATCTACAACTTGACGCATTCGAAATGGCTCATATTCAACTTAATCCTTCTCTACTCGGAGCTTTGTCTGATAAGGTCGTGGTACTGACGGGAGGCGCGACTGGCATCGGCCGAGCCACCATTCAAGAGCTATGCAGTGAGTAATTATACTTCATTAAGACTATTCTTTCCCTTTGCTCACTTTAAACCAGAGAATGGCGCCAATGTGGTATTCGGTGATGTTGTAGAAGATGCATCACGAGAACTCGAAGCCGACCTAAGCCCCAAAGCTCAATTCGTGAAATGCGATTCGTCAAATTACTCCGATCAACTAAATTTGTTCAAAACTGCATTTGACAAACATGGCCGTGTGGACATTGTCGTCGCAAATGCGGGCATCTCAATCCCTCAGGATATCTTTGACCAGGCAAGCGATATCACCCAAGAGCCCTCGATGAAAGAAGTCGACATCAATCTCGTGGGATCCATCTTTAGCGCGCGTATCGGCATGCATTACCTTCGTCGGAGTGGGGGTGGGGACCTCGTTCTCGTGAGCAGCATTGCCGGGTGGAAGGAATGCGGGGGCTTGGTCACTTATACGGCGAGTAAGCACGGTGTCGTGGGGATTATGCGGGGCCTCCATTTGACAGCCACCCCGGAGAATATCAGGGTCAATGTTATTTGTCCGTGGATGACGAGTAAGTTGATACTCAATATGTGCTCATGTTGGTCCTCTAATGCTGATCCTGAGTAGGAACGCGCATGGTTCTCGGAATCGAAAAGGGCTGGTACGACCAAAACCTGCCTGTCAATGAACCAGAAGACGTCGCTCGATCAATCATAATCTGTGCCACTGCGAATAGAGGCACGGACGGCCAGACTCATGCAGGTGCTCGTCTACCCTTTGCTGGAAAGATGTTGCATGTGGCCGGTGGGGAAAGTTACGAGATAGAGGACGAGCTGAAGAATCTGGAACCATTTTGGCTCGGAACTGAGAATAGCAAGATACTCGCAAAGGGACAGGCATACTTGGCTTCCGAAGGAACGAGCTGGGATACGACCAAGTCTTACTAACGATTGACTGTCAAAATGGATTACTGCGCATTCTAGGATGGTCACTGAATGGATGAGTCCACACTATAACATGAACATAACATATACTGCCTTGAGATATAAATACGATCGAGAATCTATTAGCTATTTTCGGGGATCTTATAGGATCTAGCTGGCTGTCGGGAAATATCAAGTTAAAATCTCCGATGTAACGTTATTGGTACCTGAGACAAAAGCCCGCCCGGGACGGTACTTAAACGCGTGGCTTCGACAACTCAAGATACCCATAATTGCTGGAGGCTCGATATAATTCGAGAAAGCCAAAAAAAATGAGAGCCAACCATAAGAGATATAAGAAGAGAACAGTGGCGTCTACGAATGTATTAAGCGTGCTGTGACACGGTACTCCTAGCAGAGACCGGATGATCCTGCATGTGATGTGATCTGGGACATTCATACACCAGCTTTGGGATATTTGATCAGTCAAGTTTCTATAAAAAAGAGGAGAACCCAATGATGTCGAAAAGGAAGGGATGATGATTGTCATAAGGTGTGCCTCATCCCATTGTTCCATCGCTTCATGCCTCAGGCATAGAGAAACATGTCCCGCCATCCCACTTTTCCTTTCTCCATCCAAACGACGGATCTGAAGCTACCCCAAAACTGTCATATCATTATGTCTGGCCCACCTAGAGACGCATTAGAATTTCCCGAGTCGGACAGGGTCTTTCTGGAGTCACAACTACCTGCACGAGATGGGTCGACTCCACGTCCTGATATGCCCTTCACAACTCTGACTTTCGCGACATCACTCGACTCTTCGCTTGCACTGTCCCCTGGAACACGTACCGTACTTTCAGGGCCTCAATCAAAAGCAATGACTCATTACTTACGGTCCCGCCATGATGGAATTCTCATCGGCGTCGGCACGGCCTTGGCCGATGATCCAGGCCTGAATTGCCGTATTGCCGGAGTTGGAGGGTACGGCGGCGAGGGTTTGGAGTCTCAACCACGACCCATTGTCATTGACCCTTCTTTACGATGGGACTTTTCCGATGATAGCAAGTTATTCCAACTTTGCAGAGAAGGTCGTGGTCGTGCGCCATGGATTGTGACAACCGTTCGGGAGCCCCCGGCCGAGAAAGATGCCCTGCTCAAGAAGTACGGGGGTCAATTTATCTCGCTCCAGATTCCTATTTCAGAGTCTGGTAATCACCGGATTGACTGGAAAGAATTACTCATCACTTTACGCTCGAACGGTCTTCGGAGCGTTATGATTGAAGGAGGTGGTCATGTCATCAACTCCTTGTTGGAGCCGCCTTATATGGGTTTGATTGATCGGGTGATCGTCACGATTGCGCCAACTTGGCTTGGGCAAGGGGGCGTGGTCGTCTCTCCACCGAGACGGTTCGACGGAGAAGGGAATCCGATGTCTGCTGCGAGGTTGAAAAACGTTCAGTGGTACCCTTTTGGAGAAGACGTCGTTCTATGTGGCCAAGTCAATGTCTAGGCAAGAGAAGCAATTTGCTGAGTCGCGCCAAGGCCTTACTACATCGGGAGAGCCAATGTTATTCATAAATTGGTATATATCAAAAATATAAAATCAAACTCGAGACTATTGATAAGGCTCTGGGCTGAACAAGTATTGGCATTACCTTCCCTGGTATATCAAGAACTGTTCTTCTCGAGAACAGCAGTTTTATGCCGCCGATCCCAATGCATATGTATGCGGCTGCAATTGCGAATATTCACTCACAATTAGCGCCGGGTCGATCAGGGATCAAGTGCCCCGAGTCGATCTGCAGATCTTATACATGCAAGCTTTGTCGCGATACTTTCCTAAGAAGATTCGGACCCACCGTTTGACAGATTGTACTGCAATGATTGTTCATTCAGCACGACTCTCATCTGACTCCCTACATGCAGCGCTAGTGCGACTAGCGAGGCCCAGGGATTAATAAGTATGCATGCCTGGCTCTTTCGGCTTCGTTGGGCAGGAATCAGCGTCGTTGACTAGTTCCAGGTACACTCTGATCGACAGATTCCACCACCTAGACACATACGCAATCGTCCGCAAGGGACCTCAAAAGTACAATCAAGTATGATTAGCATAGATTGAGGTCTAGGAATTTGTCGCGAGTTTCTCCTCAGTGCCAAACCGTTCCTTGTTGTATGGCAGCGGCCTTAATTTTGTCTACATTTAATCGGGGCTCCACTCATCTCCACTCAAACCTCCACTCGCCTTAGATCATTGAGAAGATATTTTGTCTTTTTCGCCACGATGGTGTGCACCCCCACGACTGGGGTTTTTTTACAATCTATTGTATATATTCTTCCTTCCCTTGAGAATTCCAAAATCCTCCAGTATCTTCTCTACACCTTGGCCGTACTCTGAAGAATACGGTCATGATGCCAGCTGGGCAGCCGAGTTCGATTCCGGGGGCCGGAGAGACTCCGCAAGCCCCTCCACACACTTTAACAAGTTCAATTTTGGCTAGTCAAACGGGTCGTGAAGGGTCTCCTCAAGTAGTGAGAGACTCAGCTCCTACGTCGAGTCGGTCATCCTTTGACTATGCCAGAACCTATTCAACTCCAGTGACCGGTGCTCAAACACCAGATCCTCTCCTGGGAAACAAGAATGTCTTTGAAAAGCAGGCGCTCAAGGTATCGCAGACAATCACTAGTCTGAGCCAAGCTGCTGATGATGGCCATGAACTCGACTCTCTCGGTCATCGCTTAACTAACCGAAAACCCTCGGTATCCCGAGGCCGCCTTGAAGCCGATGAGTCGGCATCACCAATACGAAAGAAGCAAGGCATCCCGCCCGAGATCTCGAGTTTCACTGCCGAAATTGTGCTCATTATGGTGTGCTCTGCCGGGTTGATGTTATTCTCATTCCTTCTTGGAGATATGCTTGCCCCACAAGAGCAATTGAAGCGTGCGCTCGGCATCAACAACACCCAGCTGCCGTGGATTGTGGGTGCTTTTAACACTGCGAATGGTCTGTCAGTGGTGATCTCCGGGTCTCTGTCCGATTTGGCAGCCCCAAAGAGTCTGATGGTGGGCGCTTTTGCCTGGCTCTCGGTGTGGAACATTGTCGGAGTTTTCTCGCTGCAGCCTTCCCGGTATGTTCTGTTTTTTGTCATGCGAGCGATGCAAGGACTGGCAATTGGCGTCCTTGTCTCTGGCAGCATGAGTATCCTGGGACGGGTGTATACGCCGGGAATTCGCAAGAATCGAGTATTCTCCGCCATGGCTGCGTGCGCACCGTTTGGCTTCTCACTTGGTGCGCTCCAGGGAGGCGCATTGAATGGCCATCTCGAATGGATCTTCGGAACCAACGCGATCATCTGCGCCTTTTGCTGTGTGGCTGCATACTTTAGTATCCCGAAGCTGCGGCCCGTGGCCGACGTTGCGGGCTCTGATGCCCCAACGCTGCGACAGTTCGACTACATCGGCGGAGGCTGTGCGGCTGGAGGCTGCGTTTGCTTGCTGTTTGGCTTGACGCAGGGACCCGTCACAGAGTGGTCTCCGTACACGTATGCCCTCATCATTGTCGGGTTGCTTTTGTTAGTTGGGCTCTTCTTCGCTGAAAGAGCAGCTATTCGCCCACTGATTCCCAATCGACTGTGGCGAACGCCCGGATTCACTCCTCTGATGGTCGCCTATTTTTTGGGCTTCGGGTCGTTCTTCGGAGCCTGGCAATTCTATGCCATCCAGTTTTGGCTCCGTATTCAGGGTGCCACGCCACTCGATGTGGCCCTCTATCACATTCCGAATGCAGTGGTGGGAGTCTTTGCGACATGGCTGGTGAGCCGGACCATTCATGTTGTCCCGGGTCATTATATTTATGCCGTATCCATGCTGGCGTTCACACTCGGTCCGGCTTTCTTTATCCCGCAGACAGCCACGACGATGTACTGGAAGCTCTCCTTTCCCGGGGTTGCTCTCGTCACGTTCGGTCCTGATCTTGCCTTTGCTGCCGCTTCCATCTTCATCACCAGCAACGTCGCCCGTTCATACCAAGGCAGTGCCGGCAGTCTCTTGGTCACAAATCAGAACCTTTCTTCGGCAATCATGACCAGCATTGCCGATGCGATTGGAACACGAGTTGACAGAGGACCGGATGGACAGATAGGCCTTGAAGGGCTTCGGGCGATCTGGTGGTTTGCTCTCGCCGCGCAGTTGACTGCTGCGCTTGTCACGATTGTTTGGGTTAGAATTCCAAAGGAAGAAGAGAAGGAACACGTCACCTAATAGAAAGATGTTTGTTTGTAAATAGGCTACTATTTGACTTAGAATTGCTCTGATGAACCTCAAGCCCGGTGACTGTCCTTTGCGTAAAAGGCTAGATTGACACGATACTCTTTTTATCTGGCGTTCTCAGCATCTCTAAGCTTACTTCCTTCTACTCTTTTGGCCTCCGATTTTCAGCATCAAGGCTCTCACTGAAGGCTTGTTAGTTCTCATGTCCTTGTTTCCGAGCTCATTCTCATCAGCTTTCTTAAGCAATCTTACTCGACAAGGTCTTCGCTCCACAATCTGAAAGATGCCGTTGAAGCTGTGTGGACCGCTCTCGAATCAACTGGACGATGACAGGGCCATGCCTACAAAGCTCACCAGGCCTCTACCAAATCTCCCGCCTCAGAAACCCAAGATCATCGGTCTATTTGGCCTTTCTGGAGCTGGAACACCATTCCCCCTCGACCAGTTGAAGAAAGAAATCGGGGAAGGAATGTTTGCATTCTATGATGCCAGCCAGGATCTCGAAGCTGTTTGTCCCGGTGGACTGATAGCATACAATGCCCTCAGTTCAGATCAGAGGCAACAATATCGCGATATCACCGTTGACACTTTCCAGCAAGAGTGTGCGAAGAAGGGTGTCATAGGAGTGGTGATTCGCTACTTAACACTCTGGGATGAAGACAACGAATGCTTCTCCATCACCCCAGCAGCGGATGTGCAAGCGCATACCCACATCCTCTACCTGGAATCGCCCTTTGTCAAATCTTCTCAGATTTCAGAACACTCCTCGCAGAAGTCCTCCCAAGACGAGATAGGACAGGCAAAAGTCAAGCATTGGGATTGCTGGCAGAAACGAGACATATCCTACTTGCGTCGCTTCTGTCATAAGCACGACATCACCTTTACAGTCCTGACACCCCACCTGGCCACCGTACCCAAGGTAATTAGCCTTATGAAGATTCTCCAGGTGTCTGGCCAGACCCACAACAGAAGATCTGTCAAAGAACAGTTGATACGTATCATGCAAACTCCTCGCGCGGAGCGGGTGGAAACTGTTTTGCTGTTTGACGCGGATGGAACTCTTTCACCCCAGGACAGCGAATACCTGCTGTGGTGCCAAGTTCCTTGTCAACTTATGCCGCTGGGACTTCAGAATATCCCTTCAAAGGCGACATTAAGTCACGTTACTTCTACGTACAAGGACTATCTCCAGACAGCGCTGCTGCATGAGGAAGTTTTTGACGATCAGACGTTTGCTGATGTTTGCCAGGAGGTTGCAGCAGCTATCCAATTGTAACCTGATATGCTGGCTCTGTTGTGCCGGGCTATTGAGACACCTCATACACTGCCGATAATAGTCACGGGGGGACCGCGTTTGGTCTGGGAGATCGTCCTGAAAAGAGTAGGGCTGTTTGAAACCGTCCATGTGATTGGAAGCGGTCGTCTCATGGACCACGCTTTGATGACCCCCGAAGTCAAGGGATTGTTAGTTGCTACCCTTCAAGAGAAATTCAATGCAGACGTCTGGGCATTTGGGAGCAATCTGGTAGATGCAGTCATGTTCCTAAAGGCCGACCAGGCCGTTCTCATCACCGATTCAGAGACTTGGCTCACTCATGACACGGGCCCAGTCTGGAAAGAGCATATTCAAGCAAGCTGTCCTCAATTGCATGATGTCCTTCTTTGTACCAACAGCGCCATGGCTCTCCAATATCAACCTCAGGAGATGCACCTGTTAGGCAAGTACTTGGTTAACAAAATCTTTTCTCGTCGTCTTCGAATCTTCTATGTCACCACAGACAGACCGTCTGCGATTCTCACGTCTTTCTAGCCCGAAGATAGTCCCACTTACCCAATCTGGAGATCTGCTCATCATGAAATCGGAGCATTACTCGCAAACCGCTTATTGAAGAACAACATCATTGATGAGAATCCTCTCTCAGATGAGAATTATATGTTTCCATGCAATTTGACCATCTTGGCCGCGACACCAGGAAGCATACCAATGGCAATTATCATCCACAATGAATATTTTGGTGCCCATTTCCTGACTCCCGACACCCTGACAGATCTTGGCAACCAAAGTAGCAGCATCTTGATGGCGACGCGGGTGTTGGTCCTCGTCAAATCCATGATCATCAATGAAGACTTCTTGATGGATCTCTTGGGAAAATACAGCCCGTTGATTAAATCTTTGGTGAAAGTTGTCATTGTTGCTGGGGTCATTCGTTCATCGCTCCTGACCAATACTAAGCTCGCTCGAGTTTTCGGTCCGAGGTCGAATGTGAGTTTTGTCGCATTGCATTTTGGGGATGACTTGGTCTGCCCTGACAATTTTCCTGAGGCTGAGCGTGTCTAAAGCTGCTGGGTTGGGTCCCTCGTGTTTGATATTCATGGCAATTTACGCAATCCAAGTACTGATCTTGTGCTATGGAAAGGAATTAGGTTGAGATTGGCCCGTTTGCATTCGTATTCATCCTGAAAAGCTGTGAGTAGGAAATTCAATCGAAAATAACACGTTGAATGTATGCCACGAAGACATGTAGAGGTCAGTCCGGTCTGATCTGCGTGACAGCAGTTCTAGACACTCTCTTTCCCACCTGCAGAGTTTGTACTGCCGAATTGGCGGCCGCTAAGGTCCATCCCCAGACAAAGTTCTTGGTCGCAAGTGGAACCCAAGACTATTTATGTATGTTCGCCCAGATTTCTGGGTATCTGAATCGTACTAGCCCATAATCGGAGGATTTCATAGAATGGGTTTGCCTCAAAAGAGCTGGAATGTCTAGTCAATGCCATGCAACGAGGTGGCACTAGTACATAGCTCAATCATCCGAGCTCGGGGATTTCTATCGTCCAATTGAAGGGCGATCACAAATGGGTCGAGAATGGGGCCATGGCTGTTCTTATTATGGAAGGCATTTAATCATGGCCTTTTAGTGAAGTTAGTTACAGATTCCCAGACTAAATCTATGACAAATGTCTGGGGAAATTATCCCACGCCCAGGCGATTCGATAGGGTAAAACGCCACGCGATTCTAGTGCCTGGGCTTAATCTACTGTAGTCGGTTCGCGTGACTATTATTGAGCAGCACCTCACGAGCGATGAAATCATGCCCCTCCAATTCGTCGATGATGGATTTGTCAATAGCCGCCTATCAGTCAGCGAGATCTTGGAGAGGGACGTTAACTTACGCAATAACATGGCTAAGGGATCGAGGCGGCTGAAGTCTGACCTTACTTTGCAAACAGGAACATTCACGTGCGAGGACTTTGATCCATTCTGACCTGGGCACTTTTTACAGATTTCCTACTGCAGGAGGTCCGAGTTGATTCGAAATAATTTCGCCTCCTGTTAAGGTCGTTTACGTTCAAATTCCGAGAACATTAGCCGATGCCTACTTTGCATGTGCGCGGAGGCTCCAGAGATGGATTTCCGCTGTGGAGAATCTGGGGCCATTATTGAATGCCGGTGGCGATTCTATGTGGGGGCTGTTGACAGGGGTGGACTACAACCGCGGCTGGGTTGGCACTGCATGGAAACGCCATTGTGATATGATCATCAACGCTTTTCCTCACTTGGCTTAGCAATCATTAGTGTGCAGACATTGTCTTCGTACATAGGGCGGAGAGCGCTTTTCACGAAGGCTTTGGCGAATTGGTTGGACCCCTTGACGAGTCAGGGGGCCTCGTCGAGCCCTGAGCATAGCCTCGAATTGGAAGCGATCCTCGCGAGGATCTCGGATTTCGCGCGGTCGGAGTTGACGTTCGGGGGACCTTGGAAGGTACAGACGCGGATTTTGCATTCTCCTATGATTATGTAAATGCATAGCTTCTGCATACCTGCAGCGAATGGGCTACTACAAAGAAATTTCCAAGTGCTTCAGCCCATGCCTGTTAAGAGCCGAAGGAAATGCCGCCATCCTCCAAGGGAGGTCTAGGACGGAGAAAGCGGAGTACAGCCTTATGCAGCATAGCAAAGTCTCGTGCAGTGCATCAATCGATCACAGTACAGTCGTAGTCACTGGTAGCAACATTGTATTCTGGTAAGCGGGCGATTAAAGATCAGCGGTCGGTTCTCAGTTGGCATATACTTGACAGGGGAAGTTAAGAAGACATCCCCACTGTCAATCTTTGCTATACTGGTGCCTGGCAGTCAGGCAAAATCCTTGGTTTCTTTGTTAAAAGGTCCACCGTAGTTGACGATCACGGTGGGGGTATAAAAGATCAGCTCCACACTAAAGACTTCGATGCCGGTAGAGGCGTGTCCTGCATGGAAACATTCTCCATGTGGGATCCACATGGTGCATTCTCAAGCCCGAGTCAGTCAAGCTAGAAGCGAGCAACGGGCTGCTGGTCTTGGGATCGCTGCACGTTCATGCACTATTAGGGAGACTATTCGAGGTCTTTCAAAGATCACCCCCCGGCTAACGCAACGAATGTGAACAGAGATCGCCTTGATGTGACGGTGCATGAACGCACAGATTAACTCCGCAAACCACTGTATTTACCCCAATCCTTCAGCCGAGTTCAAAAGCAACCCCCCCAGCTCATCTCGTCATTTCTCCTCGACTGCAAAGTTTTCTTGCTCCTAGGTCCAGACCTTCACCATTTCGAGGGGCAGTCCAGTCTATCAAGACGAAAGGGTCTATCGAACGCCAATTCCATCGATATGAACTGCTGACCTACCCGTACACTCCTTTTTGACGATATTGACCCCATCCGTTCCTTTACACCTATACTTCTGCGTCAAACAATCAACCATGGAGCACGTCTTGCATGAGCTTTTCCCTAGAGGGGATAATGGGTATTCCCGCGGCCGGCGAGCTCTGGTCGTCACGGCTGTGTTGACGAGTATCGCTGCCCTCATTGTTGGCATGCGCTTATTCGCTCGCCTCCGTTTGATGAAAGTCAATGGACGCGAAGACTGGGCTATTCTAGTCTCTCTGGTATGGAGACGCACACCTATGCAGCTGCAAATATCTCAACTGATTGAAATCATTGCAGACTTTCTCCATCGTATACCTCTCCCTAGTCGGCGCTCGTATGTTCTCTCCCCCTGGAAGATCGGCAAACCACCTAGATTGACATGATCTGTAGAATTTCATTTTGGAATGGGCATTCATTCAGACCAGCTTTCGACTGCCACATTACAGTCCCAGTTGAAGGTATGAATAGAGCCATCTCATTGGTCGAACAACTGCTGAATATCTTACAGTGTCTTTGGGCGGCTATCCCCATGTACAACGCTAGCCTGGCATTCACCAAATTCTCCATTCTTTTTCAATATCTTCGTATATTCCCCTCACGTTCTTTCCGACTCACTTGCTACGTCATGATGGCTGTTGTCGCAACCTATTCATCCTGGGCTATCGTCACTGGCTACGTCAACTGCGTGCCAGTAGCCAAGTTCTGGAATCATGATTTGCCAGGTAGCTGCCTTAGTTTCGAGGCGGTATGGCTCTTCAATGCATCGATGAACATCGCAACGGATGTGACACTGCTTCTGATGCCAATGCCATTGCTCATCAAGCTACAATTGCCGAAAATGCAAAAGATTGCCTTGGTGGGCGTTTTTGCGACAGGTATCCTGTATGTGAACATCGAATCCTTGAGAGGCTTTTAAGTACTAACTTGCCTCCAAGTGTTGTAGTCACGAGTATCCTGCGTCTATCGAGTCTTCGCATCGTCGCTAAAAGCGCAGACACGTCGTGTATGTCTCACGTGCAGCTCTCATTCTGATGCAACTACTAATAAGCTTCACAGACAGCAACGTCGACGCCGCATATTGGACTGCAGCAGAGTGCAATGTGGCCATTATCTGTGCCTGTCTGCCCTTCCTCCGACCTATTGTCAGCTGCATCTTCCCCAAACTTCTCTCTACAAACAGTCACAACCGATATACTACGAATCCAGGACGTAGCACAACCCGTAACGTCACCGCCGCTCGCTCGCCACAGGTTGAATTGTTCAGCCAGAACTTGGACAAAGATTTCGATATGTATTCAATCAACGTCAAGCGTGGTGATCGATCAAGTCATAGCTCCTTTGGCGGCATCGAAGTTACTACGGAGATGACCGTCATGCAAGAGAGCAAGCATGACGAGGCCATCAGCGAGCGACGTCTTGTAATGGACCATTCGTGATTTCTTCCACAGTCACTCATCTTTTCCTTGGTTTCTTCGGTTTTTCAGGCGATACATAACGCCTTTATCTTATGATTGCATGGCGACGGCACGCGACCTTTTTGGATATTTATGCTTTTGTTTTCACGGGAGTCTCGGTCGTTGAGGGAGGTCACTTGTTATTTGGGTTTCTGTTTCTATCGGAATTTTATGTACAGTCAAAGTGCGTTAGGTCCACTTTAGATTCAATCTGCTCCTCATGCTGCAGAATTCTTTCTGCAGGGGGGTGTCATACATTCGAGCGGGTACTTCGTCAGGGTAGTGACGTGTTAGGGAGATGATTGTACGTCTCAGGGGAACATATGGAGTCCCTTTGAGCAGCACCTCCTATACTACCATTGAAATTGTTTATGTACCGGTCTCGCTGTTGAAGCTGGCGTTAAGGTCAGAAGCTCATTTTCACAAATGGGGTAGCAATGAAATCTTTCTGCGAGGTTTGAATCGATAGCCTAAGGATATCCAATTACTGTCCCGACCTATACATAGCTTCATCGATAGATAGCTCTATCCACCAATATCAACGATAATCTGACCCTGATCCCCAGCTTCCCCTCTCACTACGGTCCCCAAATCCAGACTAAGCTCCCCAATCCTCTCCCTAACCCACCCATGATCCCTGTCCCCATGATCCAACAACGTAGCCCTAAACTTTTCAACCCGCGTCGGAAAGATCTCCAATCGATCAAGCTCAATTCCCCTCCCCCGTGCCTGCTCCTTAACAACAACCCTCCAAACAGCCCCAAGATCATTCCTAAACTCCCCATTCAACGCATAATCATCCACAAAGTCGCCACATCCGTATATAATGACCCGTCCCCGATAAACCTCTACTCCCTGCACATGATGCGACGAGTGCCCATGCACAATATCAACTTCACACTCGTCAATTAAAAAATGCGCCAATGACCGAATCCTATCCGCAGGTTGCCAGCAGTAATTCGGGCCCCAGTGTACGGAGAATATCTTCAAAGCCGGTCGTGACTCCGGATTTGCAGGGGGATTGTGGTGATGGTGTACGCGGTGGTGGTAGACATCGGATTCTGCTTCAGAACCGGGTTTCTCGTCGGATTTTGGTGGGTGACGGGTTCTTGAGCGGTTGGATAGGAGTAGTGTGCGGAGCCGCGTTCGGGTTGCCGGGGAGTAATCCAGGAAATGGAATGCTGGGATTGAGGCCCAGTCTCGCGGGTGGTCTGCGGCGGAGTAGACGTGGACGAGATAGCCGTTTTGCTCAGCGGTGGTGGTTTCTTGTCTTGTTGGGATCGTTTTGACGCCGTATACGCGTCTGGAATGAATTTCTTGTGTATGGCGGGGGAGATATAGTACGGCTGGTTTGAAGGCTTCATCTGGTGACTCGCCGGCACCTGTGAATGCGATGCCGGCGTCGCGGAGAGTCCAGATTGTCTCGACAAGTCCCTCGTTCCCAAAGTCCAGGGTATGATTGTTTGCGAGACTTGCGTAGTCTACGTGTGCCGCGTGTAAGACCGGGCCAAGATTGGATGGGTGCATGCGGTAATTGAACACTTTGTTGGGCCAGGGATCCGGGGTTGTTGTTACGGATGTTTCGAGGTTGATGAGGAAGAGTTCTGAGGCTTGCAGCAGGGGGAGAGTTGTTCCCCATGGTGAAGAGGGGGTATAATTGCCGTTTGCCAGGATGGATGGATATTCTTTCATGAAGTGCTCGGCATTGCGGCGGTCGTTATCACTGTTGACATGGTCGGGGAAGAACTGGTCAACGAGACGGCCGAGCATTACATCGCCCACGAAAGATAGCGTGAAGGAAGTGGGTTCTGTCATGGTTTCGTCGATATCATAGATGTCCAGGTTAGAGTCCATGGAGTGTTGTCGACGTCAGGATGGAGAGACTGGATGTCACGACGGAGAGAAATGATGTCAAAGTCATCATGACATCGAAACTCTCGGCTGTTCCCGAGGAGCCTCAAATACTTAAACACTCAACTGAAGAACGAGGAGATAAGATAATTTAATTCAAGATAAGCAATTCCATTATTGTAGAATATAGTTCATCTTCGCGAACTTTTTGTAACTCTGTATGTAAAGAAAATAGTAGCACAGTCAGGGATATGAGAAATCCCGAGCAAAACAGTCAGTGGTATCATGCGCAAATCTCCGAGTATTTGCGCCTTGTATCAATATGGAGAACCTCTCCACCGCGCAAAATAGAAAAAGACAAAAAGGTGGGAAATCTTTATAGTTTGATGCTCATTATAGTCGTCACAACTTGGACATGTTTTTTGGGGGGGAAAAGGTTGAGAAAGGATCAAGAATGAGAAAGTGAGGGAGAAAATCAACGGCCCATTGCAGCAAGTTCCCGTTCTTTGGCTCGCAGCGCCTCACGCATCTGCTCGGCTTCACGTTCCAGTTGGGCACGCCGCTCGGTTGCAGGATCTGAGAAGGAGGAGATGCTGGGGAGTTGCTGCGATTGGTGTGGTGCAGGCTGCATGGGAGGTTGGAACGATTGCGATCGGCTCAGAGAGGAATCCTTACGAGGGTCCGCTTGGTTGAGAATAGAAGATATTGAGCTGAGACGGCCAGGAGGTGAGGGGTTGGCGGAGGTCATAATAGGCGGCAACTGATTGGATCCCGATTCCAGGATTGTGGGAATAGGAAGGGCTTCTGCGGCAGTCTCGGCCAGTGTGCGTTTCTTCGGTAGGGTATTGGGAGAAACAGATCGGCGGCCGTATTGAGATACCGGTGAATGACCCAAACGATCGGGATTGAGAAGCTTGGGCAGTCCATGAAGCTGCAAGGGGGCGGCACTGATGTGGAAGCCGGTAAAATCCACAGGAGGCGGTGCAAATGGCAACTGCCGAGGGCCATCCATAGGTTCGTTGCTCATGTATCGATGGTGATCGTGTGCCAAGGCAGCAGGGGATGCTTCGGGAGAGGCAGAGGAGCCATTAGATGAATGAGTGGCTGCCGTGGGAGATTGGTCGCGCAGAGCCGGCACAACTCGTTTGCGGCGCTTAATGATGGACTTTTTCATGGTGGTAGGACGATAGCAACCGTGAAGCTTGTAATACAGACCTAGTTGTTTGTGTTAGCGATAAACTGGGGCGAAAGAGGTAAGAGCAAGCATGAGGGGATATCAAACGTACCACAGGCATTGCAGATGGGGTGCCCATGCTCATCCCGTCGCCAGAGCGGAGTGACCGTTGTACCGCAATTTTGACAAGCAACGAGGGTTGAGGACGCCCCATCAGAAGGCGTGGTTTTAGCCGGTGCCTCGGCTTCTTGAGGTGCGGATGGAGATGCGGTATCAGGAGCAGACGTCCGACCCCAGGAGCCCTGCACGACGGCGCCCGGACCACGGTTTGCAGCCTTGTAGATACGGTTGTTGTAAGCCGGGCAGCCATCGCATCCCTCTGCACCGCCGGTACCATTACAGCTTCCACCTCCTGGGCAAGAACCCTTGCAGCCTCCTCCGGAGCTACTCGTGGCTTCGGTACGAGAAGCAACCGGATTGTTAGGTTTGTCGGCACCATCTGCACTATGTTGCGTTCGATTCCGTTTCGTGGGGCGAGCGACATTGCGAGCTTTCAAGTAGAGGCCACAGGCGTTGCAAATCATAGCACCCGTTGGTGAGCGACGCCAAAGTGGAGTGTGTTGTGTTCCGCAGTTGCTATTCATAACATTAATTCAGCCCGGGGTAATTGGTAGGTCGAAGAGGATGTGCTCACCTGCAGGAGTGTCCTAGAAACGAGGTATCCTTCTGAGCCTTGGGAGAAGATTCATCCGGCTGCCCATTGGAACGAGTATCCGTGAATTGGCTTGGTGTAGGGGACGGTCCATAATTACTCGGAGGCGGACTTCCCGAGACTTTGATCCCAGTGCCATTTCCATATTGTGTCAGACGTTCGCGACCCGCCTGCGCAGACGAAATAAGCTGCTGCGCAGCGTCCAAATCCTCCGCCGACGGATGTCTAGAGGGCGCACTGGGGTCCCGGGGAAAAGAGCGTACTGTTTCCATGGATGGAATGGATGCTAACATAACCAACTCGTCGTCAGGCCGGGGACTGTTGATCAGCCGCGTCTCGGACGGGGAGAGACCTGGAGAGGCGATGTAGAGAGGGAGAAGAGGAAGAGAGGAGGAGAAGAAGGTGTGGAGAGGTTGAGAGATATAGCCCGATGGCAGAGAGGAGAATCGCCCGCCCAAAAAATATCCAGGAACGAAACCGCGGAAGCGAGGAGAGAGGGGAGAATGCTTGGTGAGATGTGAGGGCGATGTCGCACCACGGTCGAAAGCTGAATTCACCGTATCACCCACGCCACAAAATGGTCAGATATCCAAATGTCGGTCAGGGCCCTGTGCTAAAGCGGCAGACCAGGCAGAGATCACTGCAGGGCCAGACGAGCAGCTCGAAGATTATCGAAGGGGGGAACGAAAGACGAAACGGGGTCCGGTGGGAGGAGGACGATGGGGATGGCAGCAGCAAAAAGCGCAAGAATCAGCGACGTGGTGACAAGCAGATAATCACCGCGATCGGAGGGGACGTCTGGAAATCCACAAAGAGACCGCCACACAGGAAGATATCAAAAAGAGTGTGGCGAGTGGCCTGGCACGGTCAGGTGATGGACGCGACAGCAGACAGCTCAACAGGAACGCCCCGTTCGATTCTCGGAGTAGAAGTCGCTTTTTTGGATGGTTGCGCTGGTTGGCAAAGCTAAATGGGACTAGGACTGGAGCCAAGTTCACTAGGGGCCTGCAGGAGGATGATCCTAGTGGAGGAGGGGAATCAGGAGAGGAGAATGGGGAGCGGAGGGTGGAGGAGAGAGAGGAAGAGAGGAGGGAGGCAGATAAGGAACCGAGGTGGGCAGATGGCGTGGTCTGAGGTGATCTGCTTAGCCAAGATCGTAAGGAAAGAGGAGGTCAAAGACTAGAAAAAGAACCCAATAATGAGGACATTCGCTTATCGAGCACGTCAAAGTAGACAAAAAGGCAAAAGGGATGACGGGGAGGTTATCGATCTACGAAGGGGACAGAGATCGACGAGGCTATCAATCTATCGGTTTCTAATCGCAGTGCCGAGGATCGCTATCTCATCTAATCTCTTGGGGTTTTGTCTCGCTGGCCTGATTATTCTCTGACCCCCCCCATCGGTGTGTGCTTCGATGGCCTATACATTTTACATTACTTTTTGCTTTTTTAGAGGGATGATCGGGCTATCATATTCCGGTAATGCAGACCCCCGAAAATCTCTGTATGCGATCAAGGCAGTTTTTTTTTTTATTATTCACTTGCCCCAGATCACAGCGTTGCGCGGGCCCACCGTAGACCTGATGAAGTTTAGGGGCGAATCAGAGGGAAACCACCTTCCCAAGAGAGGAGTGGGCGGGCCTGTGTGAAGGCAATCAGATTTGCCGGTGGACTGATTGGTGGATGAAGCCTGTCGAAGCCGGTCAGCAGCAATTGTTCGCCTCTCGTTGGGCGGAAGTGGCGGGCCTTGAGGTAAACGGGGCCTTAGTCATGCTGGACTGGTCACGGTACCTTTAGTAATAGGGCCCCGGTTAGTCGTTCCTGTAATCCGCTCGAGCCTCTCACGGCTCTCGGGAATGTCACTCCTCCGTATTTTTGGGACGGAGCAGGCCGCAAAGTCCGAAAGAAGCAACGAGAGAGAAAAAGAAAAAAGTGCCAAAGTTTACCTCTACATCAATCTAGACCGACTGAACAGCACATCGGATAATTAGCACCGGTTGCCTACTTGATCCTAGTCCTACCACCGTAGTGCTTTCTGTCAGGCAATTTCACCTGCCTTGATGCAAATAGCATTACCTCGCTGCAATGAGCAGGACCCTTACATATTACTTTATGATAACTATTAGAGAGCCAATCACAGACCGAGAATTCTCCGTTCATAGAACACGTTGCCTTTCATGCTCCGGGTCAGGTCGAGGCGACCCTTCCCGGGTAAACTTATAGTACAGATTCTGTCCATGACCTCTCATCCACAGGTATCACAAGAAAAGGGGAAGGGAGAAAATTCATAGAAAAAGAGTAAAAAAAGGAAATCGGAACGGGGCCAAAAATGAATGTCAACTTCTTGCGATGGCGCGCAGGTCCATCCGAACTTTGGTCAAGGTGAAACTTGGCCAAGACACCCAGGTCCCAAGGCATTCGGGCACCATTCAACCGGTCCTCCCACGTCATAACTCAACTAAATCCGTCGTATATCGCATTGCAAAAGAATAAATATCCATGCGCAAATCATGCATCACGAACAAGGCCAAGACAGCACAAGGCCATCTCTTGCATCACAAATGGTCCAATCGTATGAGTTCTGATAAGTTGCTCTAAGGCTCGCCCGCTCGGGCGCGCCGCCAATCAGATCAGATCATATCAGATAAAGAGCCTAAAATTAGACCTGCTCAGCACCCCAGCCCTGGTCGGACTCGCGCATGTTGGAGGGGGGCTCAATGGAAGGAATAAACTCCAGGACCAAGTAGCCGATACCGGTGATGCCGACAATCGAGGCGGCAATCTCGCGCAGGACGTGGCCGTGCAGCAGAATGCAGCCGACAAAGATATAGACTAGGAAACGGGTCAGCTGGCAACCCAGGCAACAATGCGCGAGGCATCGAATTGAACTCCACAATCTAGTTGAGATATGACTTACAGATACCACGGCCCAGGAAGGAGAAGAGGAAGGAAGCGTAGCGGTAGACGTAGTCGGGAACGTTGGGGAGGAACTCCAGACCGGCAACGACTGAAAATCGGAGTGAGCAGCGTGGTCAGAAGGATTTGATGGGGCGGTAGAACTTACCCAGACCGAAGACAATCACGTATGCGCCGACGATGATGGAGCTCATGGAGGCTGGGAAGAACTGGCTGATACCACCCAGCACCATGACCACACCCACCGCGATATTAACGAGCCGGCTAGACACATGGGTTAGCTCGAGCTCATCACCTCCGCCCAGGGAATCCGGGGCAAATCCATGATGCGGAAACGACGGCGGAAACATACAAGATGTTAGAAAAGTCCATTTTGACGATTTTTGACGTGGTTTCGACTCGATTTCAAGCAGTTCTCAGGGTCTCGAGGTCAAAGGAGTCGTCCCAGCCACTAGGCAACAAGCAACGGAGGAGGGGAGGGGCGCAGAAATCGGATAGTTCGTAGCAGTATCACTAGTTTGCTCGTTAGTCTACTCGGTACTCTCGTAATAATAGTCTCGTTGTGATTGCGCAGCAATAGTCCCAGCTCTCGATAGTAGCTGTGGATTCGAGATCCCCCGGGGGGGGGAGGAGGGATTGCTAGGAGGCTCAGCCCGTCCATACTCGTTGTGGGGGCGAGCATCGCCCGTGGAAATCACGTACAGGATATTTGATATCACGCAGGAAAGCCAAGAAGGGATGCGCTCGTGAGCAGACGTGGTATCGAAGCAGAACAGGGGTTTGATGAAGAGAGAAACGAAAGCGATGGAGCGTGAGCGAGCTGCTTCGTTGTCGCAAGCAGCGGGTCTTGCCAAGCCACAATTTGGCTGAATCAGCAGGCTTTTGGACGACGCCGCTGACGTGTCACGTGAAGGGCTGGGCCATGGGGCTGAAAGGATGTGCTAAGCCGATCTAGGCCATGATTGGCGTGGCCGGAAAGGAAGAAGACAGGCCGTGCTTTGCCAGGGGCTCTAAGGAGAACTGATTGATATGATAGCAGCGTTCTAAGAATAAAGTGATAGGACATATGTAGATAGGCTCTTATTTTTTGTATGGAATGTTCGATCCACACTGTTATGTACTGGTGATTTCGCTTTTCTCTCTTCATAATTTGCAGGGAGCTTTCCAATATAGATCTCTCACATTTCCTCAATCTCATGTTCCTTGTGCTCCAGTCGAATCTCTGACAGTCCATTAGCAAACATACTCATCTTCACGGGATCCTTTTGTAGATGGTTGTAGATTGCCTCTACGTCATTTCCGAGTCCAATTTCCTCCGCTGTAGGAACACTCCTCGAATCGACAAAGGGAGCCATGGATGGCCAGACACTCTGGACATTGTCAAGGAACAACTCCACCCCTAGGTCACCTATTCCTTTGATCTCTTTGATTCGAGCGCGGACTTGTTCGCGATCCTCATGTGCGGCCTGGAGCAGGTTGTTGAGATCACCATCTAAGGGTTTGATGTCAGCATCTGGGTCTCTAGGCAGAGCATGTGAACATCAAAGCTTCGTACCATATTTAACCAAAACAAGAAGGGATAAATTTCCTAGGTTTGTAGCACACTGTTCACGATACCGATTATACCCGGCTTGTCTCAGGAGATCAGTTCGTTCATCCCACGAAGTTGCCGAAAGCTTGTCAATGTTGTGATAGTCTTCCTCCACAAGTCTGGCGACTGTCGATTGCGCCAACGCATGTGAGATGGGCCTTGACTTGACCAATGCGTCTATTACCATGGCAAGGACTGTATCTGGAGTGGGCTTTGTTCTCAGCGCCTCGTCAATTGGCGTATGGGATAGCGGTAAGCTCCCGTAGGCATGGGTGACCATCTCGACCTCGTCGTCAAAGTTTTGTTGGCGGTATTCAGGCATTTTGATACGTTTGATACGTCTAATACGTCAAATTATTATCTATTGAGTAAGAATTAAAGTGATAAAGAAATCGTTTGGTTTGATTAAGGCGGCTAGTGGGCAAATTGATCTAGTCATAATACATGCCCGAGGTCATTTTGACGTCATATTCCCAGAATCTGTGAGCCAATGATCTTGGGCTTTGACATCGTTCATAAGCAGTATGCGAACAGTAGCATACTACTCATGTAGTGTTGATATCTATGGACCGACATTGTTCGCATGATGATGTAGATATATTGTCTCTTCAGGTCGCTCAGAGCTTAGCCCGAGTCTTGTTCCGCAACACCTCCCTAACCAAAGAAACCGCAGTTTCGGCACATCCAAAAGAGGCCTGATATCCGAATCCGCCATGACCATAGTTATGCACGATCTGGACTCCGGCAACCTCATCCTTCTCAACTCGAGGGCCACCCTCTCGCAGCGGTCGAAGACCAACGCCGTGCCGAACAATATCCAAGCCCTCGATCCCTTGACCCTCCTTGACCAGCTGGGGCGCAATAGCGATTGCGCGTTTCATGATTCGATTAGCAAGGTTTGGGTCCGGTAGAGGGTCCCAGTTGTTCTTTTGGTAAGAGCCTCCAAGGATCGTGCCACCGCCTAGATAGTGTGAGCTTTTGCCTCTTCTGCTTTGTCTGAGACTGAGTCTTACCTGCAGCACGTGTCATCAAATACAGTGCCTCATCTTCTCCATCGTCCGTCCCAGAAAGTCCAATCATAGGACCCGGGTCGTTGCGAACGACCACAATCTGGCCTCGGGCGGGGAGAAGCTTCTCATCGAGAACTCCACCCAGGAACTTGGAAGAGAGACCCGTGCAGTTCACGATAACATCAGCCTTTTGACCGGAGTGGTGTGCGTCCGCGGCGTCGGCGATGTGCTTGAAAATAGCTCGCTTGAAAACTGCGCCGTTCTTGATGCACTGGCCGACTAGCCAGGGGAGGTAAACGGCAGTGTTGATGCAGACAGAGGTGAAGACTTGGCCGTTGTCAATGTCAGGAGCCAGTCCGCTCTCCGGGAGGTTTCTGAACTGGTCAATCTTTGTCAATTGAGAGGCTCATGGGCACGGATCTGGATTCGGCATACGTCGGGTACCACGTCCTTGTACCAGGGATTCGGCTGCACCAATTCCGAGAACCACTTGCCAGTAGCTGTTTCTTGGTCTTTCTTTCTGTTGTAGATGAGGGCATCTAAAGCGGTCGTTAGAGCAGTTCATCTTACTGCATGATTTAGAAACATACCGAGGAAGTGAATGCCCGCCTCGGGATATTTCTCGGTGATCTCCTTCAGTGCGGGCCAAGTGTCTCGTTCCCATGCGTGGTGGTTGCTGCCCTCTTTACCGACCCTAAGAAAGGAAGAGTTTAGTTTAGTCACGTCAACGATACGCATATCGATCGTACGGCATATAGTTGGCTCCTGCCCAAGGGGAGGCATATTCAATGTCATAGTCCCCAGGCATGTGCTTCGCAAGCACGGTGATTCGATTTTCGGGATCCTGCGATAGCAGGTAGGCAGTCGTCAGGCCTGAGACCCCAGCCCTGAGACGAGTTAGTTCGAAATATAAAGATAGGGACACTCGCTTTGCCGAGGCAGCATTTTTGGGTGTTTCTTACCCTATGACCACAATGTTGTTAGGCATGGTTGATTTAATTATTCCTCTGTTGGATGTAGGGAGATGGTGCAAAGTGGTCAGAACAGATTGGACGCTTAGTCGAGCATAGCAGGATTTGGAGGACCCAAAGAGCCGTGAAGTGGAAAAAATACGGAGTTACAAGTACGGAGTACGGAGGGAGCGGGGTGAGGAGTAGATAGACTCCGCAACCGTTATCCACAATTTATTTGATAAGAGAAATGGACCATTGGAGAGAGAGAGAGTTGGGGTAAAAAGCCGCCATACTGCGTCGGCCCTCGCTTGGAGCTATTAGTCTTGGTTCGATGCATCAATGAGGCTTTGGATGAACTAACAGATTGAACGAACGGTGTCAGTCCCATGTCTTCATATTTCCTCAAAGATTGGCTTTTGCATCCCCGCTAATCATGGTGTAGGAACCCTGAAGTCCAACTTTAGTTGCGGGTTTTTTCCTATAGAAAATTTGCGTAAACTACCTATCTATTCTACAGGACATTCCCATTCATCCACGAGAAGTACTTCATAGCCAACCCTTCTTAAATCTGAAAACAGGACCCGAAGAGTTTCCTCGTCAAGAAACTAATGTATGGCGTCTGTAACTCAACTGCTAATTCGGGTGGCGGCCGATGAGGCGGTGTGGAGCCAGGCCAATAACAGCCATTAAAAACAAGAAACGCGCCAAAGTTTTCCTGGTGGAGACGCGGAGGAAAACAGGGCAAAACCGAGTTGCGATACGCCTCTGCATTTTGGAGGCACATGACATGGACAACCAGAGCAAAAGTAGAGTATGGTCAATCTATTCAGAGCTTGATCACACTTTCAGCTGTCTAATGCTGAGATAGATCTTTATCTCTAGCTCAGAATCTCCCAATTACAGACGGGGAATCTTATTTGAAGCAAAGAGCTTTCTCCGTAAAGTCCCGCGGGTATCCATCTAGGGGTCCACCGTATCCCTAGAAATCAATGAATCACATCTTCATAGTGATGGCTCAAAAGAGGTTATTTCAGTGATTGCCTGGTGATTATGGTGTATAAATCATTCCGGGAGCCTATCTTAATGTTCAAGCATCCTTCACAAAGAACTTTGATGCAATTGAAAAGAACGAAAGAACTTCTTTGTGGCCTCAAGTCAGCGATGTCATAGTAGGCAAAGGCTCACGTGTGACCCAATCACCGCAAGACTGCCGCTTCACCGCCCCAACTCGGCAGTCAACTCTGGACGATTGCTGGAATTCCTTTTTCAGTTCCCATCGCACCCGCAGGGCTTCCCCTTCACTCTGCGGGCTGTTTGTTGCCTATTCCTCTAGGGTTTTGCCTATCAAATTGCCCCTCGACTTCTGCCTGGATTCTCCAAGTATCGTACTGAATTTTTAAATGACGGACTCGACCCGAGCAGGGCTTTCTTTTTCATTATGTCCACCCTCACACACGGTGGCAGAATTGTGCCCATACTTACAAGTCACGAACAACACAAACAACTCGACTCCACCACCCCATCCCCCGACATACTACTAGAAACCAATGTCCCTCAATTAGCAATTGATCAAACCCCGCTGCTGGATCAGCGGGTTGACTCTGAAGCCATGCGTCGGAAGAACACCCTTGATCTCAACTGTTTAGAGATGCCTTGCTTGAACGAACGCGGTCTCTTCGCTTTCCCAACCCAAGGAGATGGTAAGCTAGTCAATTCACCCTGTCGACAGTTTGCTCTTGTCACAGTCAAGCTGTTTCACCTCAATCTAGGCCAAATTTAACGCGTCACTTCACAGGCAATTGTCTCTACTATTCACTCTCCGATCAATTGTACGGCGACTTCAATCATGGTGACGAGATACGCCACCGTCTCGCTGACCACATGGCCAACAATAAGACATATTTCATGCAATTCGTTGTTACCCAAGGCGGCGAGCGTCGCCGTCCCAAGCGCGCTGCCGTCTCCACATACGCTACTCGTTCTGCCGAAGTTGCAGCTGCGTCAGAGGAGGACAAAGAACGCCGATTCACAGAAATGGTGGCTGCAACTCGAAAGAATGGCGAGTGGGGTAGTTCGGAACATCTGCAAGCATTTTGCCAAGTCTACCGTGCAGACATCAACGTCTACACCATGGATGGTGTTCAGGCTTTCCGAGATGTGAATGCCTCGAGTGATGACCACCGAGATGTGGTTCATGTTGCCTTCCACGTATGCTCATTGTATCTTCTTGTCGATGATGACTTTTGAAACTAAATCAATACAGGACTTCAAACATTATTCCTCTGTGCGGCCAGTGAATGGCACCCACAAGGGGCTCTTTACTAAGCCCCCGCCGCAAGCCCTCGTTCGGACACCCTTGGAACAGACTGAGATCAAACAGGACATCAAAACTCACATTCTTCCTGATCCTAAAGATCGGGTTCCCGACACCAAGCTAATAACGCCTCCCTCGTCAGCCTCACTATCATCAACCCCCGAAACTTCCGAAATCCCTAACCCTGTTTCCGACACCGAGTCTTCTACTGACGGTCTTAGCGCCAAGGCCGCCGACCTGGCCGTTGATGTTTTCCCTCCCTGGGACATCCAGTCTATCCAGGATGGCCTTGGTGGTCGGTATGACCGAGACACGATCGTGGACATGCTGCAGAAATGCCGCGGTGACATTGACCGGGCATTCGCCGCTCTCCTCGATGAGAACGATAACGGGCAAGAGAAACCGTCAATTCTCGGCCCAAATTTCAAACCCAGTCTCCAGGCATCACGGGAGTCATCGCCCTTCAGCACTGGTAGCAAGCGGTCTGCCGACGATAGTGACGACTCCGAGGACCAACCCCCTACCTCCCGGCGGGGGCGTCCAAAGAAGCGGATCGTCTCCAATCTGACGCTGGGTGTTGGGATCTCCTTCCGGGACAACCAGAACGAGGTCGTCTCACTTAATCTGCGGGTGGACGCAGATTCCGAGAAGGCAAAGAAGGCGGAGAAGGCCCCTGCATCTCCAGTCAAGGACACGGCTAGCCCCGAACCATCCGCGGCAGCCGTCACCAAGGGTCCTCGACGGAGTGGCCGGCTTTCAAAGCCTCGGCCTGCTTGAAAGTGAGAGAGAAATCTCTCAGCTTTCATTTGATTTCACTTCTTTTATGCGTTATCTCTGTGGATTTCTGTCTGTGTTTTCAGCGATCAACTCTTGCATTGTGATGGCGTTGGCATGGAAGCATTTGGCATATGGGATTGGTTTTTGTTGCTGGGGCGTATGCATGGCCGGCATGGAATACAAAATTCAGGCTGGCTTGGTGGAAGCGTTCTTACTTATTTGCATGGAAGATAGTGCCTGGTGCACTCCTTTAAATGGGCTCATGACATGCATTTGTGGCGAAGAGTGGGAGAGCTTTTTCTTCATTAGCTTAGATTAATGGTTGGTGTCGGTGCAAGGTTTCTACCTTTGTGCGAGCACGCTATCTTATGCTTGATGATAGCTGAATCTAATCCAATGTACCACCTGGGGGTGGTCGGATTGCTCTCGGATTTATCCATGCGTCTCTCGTAGAACTTCTCGAGCAATAATCTTGTCCAATATAATTCAAGCGCCATGATAGCTGGCTACTTGAACTGATGCATCTCTACTTCCAGATGCTCTCCTTGAGTTAGCATTCAGCATTGTATCTTAGGTTTCTCGTATATACAATAATCATAAGTATGTATATCAATCTGCTCCTCTTTCTCGGCTTCCATATCTCAAGGAACACAGGCTGTATCTTACTCCACTTCAAGACCTCTGTTTATGCCTCCTTAAGAACCAATCATCCCTCGCCCATTACTCGTCCAGTAGAAACTTAAGAAAGGTCCCTCCGATAGAAACACCATCATGCTCATTTCCAACCCTGCTCAGGGCCTCCTGCGCTTGAATTTCACTGAATACGCCCTCCTTGGTCAGATGATTGACAATCTCAATCTCTATCTCCTCATTGAACTCGGGATGTCCTTGAACCGTTATGAAGCGGCGGGGCGAGTACATACCCTGGACAGCACAGCGTGGTGAGGACCCGAGGAGAGTCACTGCTGAAGGACACTCGGAGACAACATCTTGATGCATTTGCTGGATACACTGTAAATTGGACCTGCATTTAGCTTGGTGTCGTTTCTTGAATACCTCCAACACAGCTGTAGACTTACGAGCTTGTCCTTTCCAAACAAGTCTTTCCCTTTGTCTGTCAAGTCCACTTCACAGACCGCAGTCTCCCAACCTTGGTCACTGGGACCGATACTCACACCGAGTGCGCGCGCCACAATCTGGTGGCCGAAGCAGATTCCGAGCAAACGGACGCGATCTTGAGCTAGCACTGACTGGGTGAATTCAACGAGTCGGTTGGTCCACGGCACGTCTTCAAATGAGTTCTACCCTGTGATATTACAGTATGAGCGTCTTTTCTTGATTTCGTGCATGAAAGATCCCCAGGAATAACCAACTTGAGCCACTCAGAAGCACGGCATCGATATCTTCCAGCTTTGGGTATTCCATCCTGCTCAAGATGTCCCATCTTGAAATCTGGAGATCGGTTTCAGGATCTAGACGTTCGCTCTGATTGAGTGTCTTCGCGCTAGCTTTAAGGTGAGCAGCGAAGACCCCTCCGTATCCATGATAGCGACTCTCGGTGTCGAGGAGCGGGGTATCGCATTCCAAGACCGCGATCCGTAGGGGAGGACGCATAGTCTCGCAGAAACTTGCAGGGTATGTACTTGATCCGTAGTCTGTAAAATGGCTACAGTACTTCAAGAGTGCATGTAAAAGTATGCAGTCGTTCGCAGAACGCTAGACAGATTTCAAGTGCAAGTTCAAATCGCAACTGCAAGCTAGATAGATGAAGGGCGAAGCTGACGACAGTGTCAGGCTAGCTAGCGGTGATCCACACCAACTTTGTTACTGTATCACCCCTGCCGACCTTGTCTTTTGCGTTTCGCCACTTGCAGATTACCAAAATCCTAGTGACTTCTCGGGTTAGTCAATGCACCTGCATCTTGATCACTGTACATTTACATGAAATTTGACGGTCGATCGATTCTTACTTGAAGGGTCCGATCTCGCGACTCTGCATGAAAGGGTGGAGTCGCTTCGGTACTTTAAGTGTTGGTAAGAGTCATTTTCTCACTCGCCCGCAATTTTTCTCTCTTCTTCTACTCGTCACACTTCTGATTTTGTGAGTGAGAAGCGTCAGCGAATCACTTCCTCGTTGCAATCTCTGACTCGCTATTGCTATCTTTGCGTGGCGGACTTATACAGCCGCCAGCCAATCTACCCCGACTATCGGAGTTGAGCAGAGGCCGTAGACATGTCGAGATCGAATGCCTCGGAGGGAACTCCGCTTCTACGAGAATCCTCTACCTCCCAAAGCACATCCTATCGCAGCGTGATCAACCACTCGAATGATGTGGAAACGGGTTTACCAAGCATCGAAGCCGAGAATGAACTGACTTTTCCGGTCTTGACCCAAGTCAGTTCGGCACAGCCGAGTCTGGACATCGAGCCGAGCTTGGAGCGATATTCCTCGATAGCTTCGAGGAGAAAAAGCAGTGTTTCTGCTCGAGATACGGACTCTACTTCTAAAAAAGAATCAAAGTATGCCTCCCAATTCATCGGAGTGTCACCCTCCCAATTCTGGGTTATTTTCTCCGGCATCCTGCTGGGCTACGTGATCGGGTTCTTCGACTCCACCCTTATGGCGTCAAGTTATCCAGTGATCACGTCGTATTTCCATGCGTCAAATTCAGCGTCTTGGCTGTCAACCGCGTTTCTTCTCACGTCCACGGCGTTTATGCCCCTTTTTGGGCGCATCTCGGATGCTTTGGGCCGGAAACCAGTCTACCTATTTTCCATTTTCATGTTCTTCGTGACTACAGCATGGTGCGGTTTGGCTCAAAGTATCGGTGGTTTCATCGCCGCCCGGGCCTTCTGTGGCCTGGGTGCTGGTGGTGTTTTCTCGATGGGCCAGGTCATTTCAAGTGATCTCGTGCGCCTCGAATATCGTGGGGTCTACCAATCATACATCAACTTGAGTCTCGGCATCGGAAGCTGTACTGGTCTCGCCTTCGGTGGCCTTCTCTGTGACCGGGTTGGCTGGCGGGGTGCATTTCTCATCCAATTACCTTTCATCTTTGTCTACTTCATCATGGCTGCCATGACCGTTCCAGCAGAGCTTGGGATCAAATTGGTCGGGTCGGAGCGCATGACGGTCCGGCAAGTGATCCGCAACGTTGACTTAACTGGATCGTTCTTCTTGGTCTCGGCAGTCACCGCATTGATCATGGGTTTAAACTTAGGTGGGAACATCTTCCCCTGGACTCATCCACTGGTGATAAGCTCTTTGGTCGCGGCTGTTGTCCTAGCCATCATTCTCGTGCGATATGAGCGCCATGTGTCTCTCGCAGTGCTTCCCGTGGAGCTCCTTACCCAAGAACCTCGCGCCAGTATTATCTTCGGCAACTTCTTTGGCTCGGTCTCGGTCAACACGGTGATGTTCAATGCCCCGTTGTATTTCCAGGCCGTCAAGCTTGCTACTCCCACCGACTCGGGCCTACGTCTTTTAGCTGCCTCAATTGCCGTGACTGCTTCTAGCGTTGGTACTGGATTCTTGATTACCTGGTCGAAACGTCTGAAACCGCCCATCATTATCGGTGGTATCAGCATGGTTGTAGGAGGCCTTTTAGCTGCATCTATGGGTATCACCACCCCCGATTCCCTCGCCATGATCTGTGTCTCATTCTCCAGTCTCGGTCAAGGGTTCGCCTTTCCGAGCTTGATGGTCTCGATTTTGGCCACTAGCGAGCAAAACGACCAGGCTATCACTACCACTACCCTGGGTTTGGCGCGTAACCTGGGCTCCGTGATGGGTGTGTCGATCAGCAGCTGGATCTTGCAAAATACGCTGCTGTACGAGCTTGAAAATAAGGTGACAGGCTCGGACAAGGCGCAAATCATCGGCCTTGTACGCAAGTCCATTCGTGCTATCGCTGATCTGGATCCATTCCATCAACAACAAGGTGAGTTCCCACTTCCACCAGCACCCTTCACCATCTTTCTCGAAGACTAATGATTGAACAGTCGTCGGAGCATATGCTTTGGCTCTCCGTGTAACCTTTCTCTCTGCGGCTGTTTGGGGCGCTATCATGTTAATGCTGCACTCACGGCTTCGCTTGCCCAGACTGGGAAGTAAGACTTCCCCAAATTAGAGACGTATATAGACTGCATTTTACTCTACCTATCTATATATTAGGCCCAGCCTGTTGTTCAACCCTTCTGCATTCGGTCTGGATAAAAGGGCACTGAAAAGTATATAGAGTTTGAATTTCGTCAGAAAGATTGTGATTCGAAAATGGGAAATAGGCGACTTGTATTCGATCGAGACGAGCGTCTACGCGTAAACTCGAGAATGCACGTATCCTTGTCATGATAAGACTATCTATCTAATCGCCAGGTTTTTTCTAGGTTTCTTTCTTTCCTTCAGGTGACCCACATTTTTCCCTCTCTAAACTCCGCGTTTTGATCCACCAATTATCACTGGACTCTCCGTGACAACCACCGTCCCAGACTGGCATCGGTCACATCGCAAACTTGCTGGTTCATTGAGGCAACGCGCTGGTAGGCTGCATCTCTTGGACTTCAATCTCACGCCCTAACACCACCGACCACAGATCCCTGCCGATCATCCTGCCTTCCCCTCGTCGGCCTGTGCGCTCTGCCGGAAAGCGGGCCAATCCCTCCCCCGGTCGCATTTTTTTGGACTTTGCCTCATCCTTTTCAGACGCCTGGTATACACATCTTGATCAGCGCCCAGAAAAGCCACACGCTGGAACCGAACATGGCCATTCGAGGATATCGGACAAGGAGATTTTGCGTATACCAAACCCCTCGATCGGCTCGGACGCTGCCCGCCGCAGTCGGCGCCGGCGACTAGATCAAAAGTGACAAAAGACGGTGGCTGGAAGTGTTGGAACGTTAGAGGACCCACTACGAAAACCGAGATGAATCTCACAACTCGATCGCAAGCGAAGTCTCAATCGCAAGCTGCCTGCAAAGCGAGCCCGAAACCTCCGACCCCAAAGCAGAAGACCATTTCACCCCGCCAATCCAGTGCAAGCCGCAAGAAGTCTTCTGAAATAGCAGATACCAAGGCCAAACGGGTCCGGACGGGATGTTTGACCTGTCGCGAAAGGCATCTCAAGTGTGATGAGGCCTTGGGTCGGTGCCTCAATTGTCGAAAGTCGGAAAGGATTTGCAGACGAGGCATTCGCCTGAACTTCATTGACATTCAGACCGTCGCGCCTCCACATGTCATCGATCGTCCTCGTGGTGCAAAAGTGACATTTCGAGACGACTCTCGATTTATTGCATCCGAGTACGTTGGAGGCTTCGAGAGGTACCCCCCGCCACAGCCAGACAGCCCCGTGGAAGAAAGAAGACAATTACACCATGACGCTTTCAATCTCATGGGGCATGATCAGTTGGCAAGCTTGTTCCATTCAGTCGCTCACTCATTCGACCCCTCTGGCTTTGATCTATCTCATGCTGCAGCAGTAGACTTCCTTGGTGGACAAGATGCCTGGCATCACCATGAGCCTCACCTCATGCCAGGTGACGAATTGTTACCACACGGGACGTCTAATTTTGCACGCAAACTGGCGATGAAACAGTATAATCCATCTTCCTTGGTGGATCCAGAGCAAGTTTATCTATTACAGGTTTTCGTGGACGAGGTAGGATGTTGGATGGACTCGCTAGATTCAATACGATACGTAAGAGCAGAGGTGTCCTTTCAACAAGTCGGTTGAATGCAACTGACCGATATCTAGTTTACACAAATTCTACCATTGTATGCTATCGATGAGCCGTTGTTACTCAAGGCTTTCTTAGCATGTGGTGCTCGACATCTGTCGCTGGTTAATTCGTCATTTGACAAAGCGAAAGCTACAAAATACTACGATGAGGCAACCCAAGACTTGTTGAATGCTATGCATGATCCGAACCGTGATTCCGTTCTTTGCACAACTGCCGCATTGGTTCTCAGCATATATGAGATCATGGCTCCGCAACAAACACCGGGTGCGAACCATATTGCAGGCTCCAGAGCCCTAATTCGTGAATGCGGCTGGACGGCAAAAACGCCTGGTCTTGGCGGATCATCCTTCTGGATCAGTGTAGGCATGGAACTGCTGAGCTCCCTACACTATAAGTGGACACTATCCTGGAACCCCGATACGTGGGGGGTAGATATGGATATGCATCAACAACCGCATCAGGTCCAGCTGTTTGGAAAGACCGAAGAGCTATGGCTCCACCGGATCATCTACATTTGTGCCAAGATTGCCAATTTCCGCATCGCTGCTCAGTCCCTACAATCGGTGAATGGTTCTATGAATTACGCCAATGAACTGAGTGACGTTTTTACGGAGTGGAGCCACTATGAGGCACTGTGTCGTCAGTGGTATGAGAATGCTCCCAGATCTTTGAAACCTCTGGGAAATGTACCGCAATGGCAGACTGAGCCAATGTCTTCGTTTTCGCGAATTTGGTAAGCTTGCATCTTCCATCTTCTCCACTAGCCAGGAGCAAGCTAATCTATCCCCGCCCTAGGCTTCACAAGCGGATCGCGATTGTCTCTCAACTCTTCTATCATACGGCTTGCTTACTGCTAGGCAAAGCTCACCCCTTGCAAGCCGAGCTTCATCGCAAAATGCAACAAACCCACGCCCGTGACATCTGCGGTATTGTCACAAATACAAAAGATAAAGGTGTCATCAACGTATCAATACGTTGTCTTGCCATTGCTGCCGAGTGTCTAGACACCGGGGAAGCACAAAAAGAAGCCCTTTCGATATTTGATGCCATTGTGAAAGATACCAGCTGGCATGCCGAGCCGATTCAGAATGAACTGAAGCAACTCTGGGGCTGGAACATTGCCCAGCCTGAAACTGTGGATCCTACCCAGATGCACAATCATCAGTATGGGCTAGATCCGGCTCTACCCATTCCCAAGGGCCCGGAGTTCCCACCTGGACTGTCCAATCCTCTTTTAGATGTGGGTGACTTTTCGATGGCGAATCATCCGTACCAGGAGCACTATGTAGCTCCTCATCATCATGGGTTGGATCATCACCTGTACCAGTCTTATCTTATCTGATTCGCCCAGTCCCCCCAAAGGGTCTTTACATCTTGGCAACAGTCTTCTTTTCCCTTTCGGTGGCCTTTTTTCTATGCACACGTTTATATACCCCGATATGAAATGATGAATGATAGCATGAACAAATCAATTTAACGCGAAACTGCCACTTCCCATGAACGCGCCAGTATGACATGATGACAATATCATCGAGAATATACCCTGTCAATGAGACTGGGATTGATCTTTCTGCGGTGAATGGGGATGTGATTTACTTTGAATGACTCAATCTGCATGGTAATGCTGAGCTGGAATGGCCAACCGCCCGGAGTTTAGCAATTAACACCGGTAGCGCGTATTAAGACCGATATGTCCACGACGAGGATCCCAAGGCTAAGCCTAGATTCCTCAATCTGCAAGTTAAGTTGAAGGGGACAATAAAGTATTAAATACTCCCTGGCTCTGTTTCTCTAGGAGGGCATCGACCCATCGTATGGACCTTGGATAGACTTCAAGTGAAATATAACGACTTTAGCTGCCCCAAAACCATACCAGCACCCCGCGATAGTTATCAATCCGTGTCTCACCCCTCCAGGTCCTTACAATTAGAAGGACTCATCATGGTTAGCAAGTATGCGACTGATCAGCCCCAGGGGTTCACAAACAGAATCGAAAGGGTGGCCATTGTCGGGGTACGTCAATCCTCTTTCTTAGATCACCCGTAAACCACAACCCAGGCTCAGGCGATATATAGGCAGGTGGTTCGATTGGAAAGCACCTGACGGAAGCATTGCTTAAAACCGGCCAGCACATTATTACCGCTATCGCACGCCCAAACAGCACCACCAAGCTTCCAGAAAGTCTCAACGTCGTCCATATCGACTACAGTGGTGACGACGATACCGCGCTAGTTGAAGCTTTGCAGGGACAGCAGGCTCTGATTATCACAATGTCCGTAACTGCTCCGAGAGGCACGATCAACAAAATAGTACGCGCCGCAGCAAAGGCCGGTGTACCTTACGTTCTGCCGAACTGGTTTGGCCTCGACGGCGCCAATAACTCGCTATCTAACGATAGCATGCTCAGCGCCAACCGCGACAGCATTCTTGCCGAGTTCGGCGCCCTTGAATCAACCTGCTATATCTCCTTGGTGTGCAATTTCTGGTACGAATTTAGTTTGGGCGGGGGACCTGACCGATTCGGCTTCGATTTTAAGAGTCGTTCCTTTATACAATTCGATGAACACGACGTTATCTTAAATACAACCACATGGCCTCAGTGTGGTCGTGCCATTGCCAGTCTTCTCAGTTTGAAGGAGCTCCCGAATGATGAAAGTGATACGTCGCCTACACTATCCCAGTTCGCCAACAGTTCCGTTTACATCTCGAGTTTTCGGTTGAGCCAACGTGATATGTGGGAAAGTGTGAAGCGTGTTACTGGTACTGACGACTCTGACTGGAACATCACGCATGAATCTGTAACGCAGCGCTGGAGGGAAAGCCGTGCTGCTGTGGAAAAGGGGGATTTTTCCGCGTTTCCCAGGATGTTATACAGTCGCATCTTCTTTCCTACTGCCGATGGTGGCTATCAGTCTTGTCGTGAGCTGCATAATGATTTGCTTGGCCTGCCAGTGGAGGACTTGGATGAGTTTACAGCTATTGCGATTAGAATGGGGGAGAATGATGAAGTGGTGAAAGCACACTAGACACAAGAGATGAGAATTACTTAGAGGATTGTAGGGGAAACAGCTACGGGGAGCTGCCCAGGACTTTTCCTCTTGATACATATTGATGACAATTCTACCATTTTGGAACCTATTTAATATCATATAGATGTATCTTACAAAGGCCTTTAGCAGTAAGATCTAGCTATTGACGCTACCAGACTACTAGAAGCAATAGAAGATGTAGATTTGTCTCTCTCATTGTGTGATTTTTGGTCTGATGTGTGGTGGTCTATATTTCTGGTTCATAATACAAAAAACCTCCTCGGGTCAACAGGAAGCCGGGCTTATGGTCTAGGGGTATGATACTCCCTTCGCAAAGACTTCTAGTCTGAATGAAATTGGGAGTGGTCCGGGGTTCAATTCCCCGTGAGTCCATCAAACTTTTTGTCCTCTGTCACATAGGACATCAAAGTAAGGGTCGCTATGCCGAGTCTTTTCCAGGTTGCAGATGTAAAAGGATAGAAAAATTTTTTTTCTTCCTCTGGGTTGACGAGGGCATGGATAGTTCGTACACAGACTATTGTTTGTGGATTACAGCGACGCAACAAATATAATGAACTATGACAGTCAGTAAGCAATTTAGGTAAGGCGGTGCGGAGTCTTCCCGCGGCGGGCCTGGAAGCATTCCCTCTCCATCAAGTACACCGTGCCGAACATACACATTCCGCCTCGACGACAAAAAACCCTGTCAGAGATGACTACCACATCTAGTCAGCTCCAGCAGTCTCCGGCTACCCCGATTTACATTCTTCGGGGACATGCGGCCCCAATCCATGCCTTACACGTCTTCGCAGCGAACCTGCGACTGGTGTCCGGAGATGCTGATGGCTGGGTAGTCATCTGGGATCTGGTTACCAAACGACCTGTCACGGTGTGGAAAGCCCACGCCGGAGCCGTGCTGGAGGTGAAAGGCTTCAGTCTGAGTAATGGTGTGATAGAGATTTATACGTAAGATCCGGGACCTGTGGGATTCAGCAAGGCCATCGAGCTAACCTAAAAGATAGACATGGCCGCGACCACAAACTTTGTGTCTGGAAAATTCGAACAGAAGACGAGACATTTCTTAATAAGACTCTCCCCGTTGACCTTGCGCAGTCAACTGCCTCTGAGAAAGGGACGCAGCCATGGCTACTCCATTCTCTGTCGGTGAATGCGCTCAACTTTTGCGCCTTCTCAATGACATTCATCGAAACGACTGAGGCCAAGTTTACAGAAAGCTCTAAAGAATCAACGAGCGCCATTCGTCAGAATGTTCTTTTCGCCGTGCCAAACGCGCTCGACTCTGGAGGAATCGACGTTTTTCACCTCCCATCCGAGCGCCGCTTGACTACGGTCAAATCAGACCCCTCGGTCAAAACTGGAATGCTGATGGCAGTCAGCATTTTCATTTCTCCGTCTGGAGATATCTTCGTTGCATCCGCCTTTGAAGATGGGCACGTCATGGTGTTCACGCATAAGGGCCCTCTCAACCCAGCCAGCTTCGAGCTCAGCAATATCAACTCAAATCCATGGAAATGGAATAAACTCTACGCCAGTCGCCCTCATAGCCAACCAGTTCTATCACTTGACGTGTCTCCATCGCATGATTATTTCATCTCCTCTTCCGCAGATGCATTGCTCATCAAACATCCGATCCCTAGCACCGGCTCCGTGGGATTTTTTCCCACTGGGAAGTATACCGAAGACAAAGCTTTAAAAACTGTGAATACGAAACATTCGGGTCAGCAGGGACTCCGAATTCGGAGTGATGGTAAAATCTTTGCCACTGCTGGCTGGGACAGCAGGGTGAGGGTTTTCTCTGGCAAGACGATGAAGGAGCTAGCAGTGCTTAAATGGCATAAGGAAGGATGCTACGCCGTTGCTTTCGGGGAGGTAGACCCTCCAGACTCTCAGTCCACATCTCAAACCGTTAAGGCCGAACGCTCAAGTGGCCAGGAGTCGACACAAGAAGAAACCAGCCAAGAAGGAGTACCGGAAAGGTCAATTGCAGCCGTGCACCAGCAGCGCTTCCGAAAAATACAACACACTCATTGGCTCGTGGCAGGTTCCAAGGATGGCAAGATTTCATTATGGGATATCTACTGAAACAACTGCTAATGCTCTTGTACAATAATAAATAATGCATCGCCCAGCGAGAAAAGAATAAACACGTATAAAATTTAAGCCAGGTTGAATTCATTGGCACTGTTCATATGCTCCTTCACCTTGGCTCTCATCTTGCGGGAGGCTTCACGAGCGGCTTCACGAACGGCGTCATCCGTAGCAGAGGCCGCTGTATTATCGTCTCCAGCCTTCCTCTTGCCCAGAGTAGCACCGCGGCCAGCCTTGAAGTCCTTCTTCGTTTCTTCCTTTCCAGGACGAAGACCAGGGACATTGATCTTTCCGGGCCGATCGCGCAAGGCGAAACACTTGGCAAGATGACCCAGGTGGAGCTCCTTGATGTTGAACATGCTCCGCTCGGCAGCGATGTGAGTTGCATAGGCACGGACGTGCGATTGGAAGGCACGGCGGGCCATTTCAAGATATTCCGGATTCTCCAAAGCCCAACGTTCGACATCCATTTGCCAATCAGTGGCCTTTTCCTCCCAGTTCTTCGAGCTAGATTCGGAATTTCCACCAAAGCCGCGCTTCAAGATCTCAGTCGCATCTGTACGGGTGAGGGCCTTGCCGCCATCACGATAGCCACGCTTGAGGACCTCGACATAGTTCTCTTCGCAGCCTGGCTGGAGGAAGATCAGAGCTCGTCCATCACGTCCTAGACGTGCGGTACGGCCGATACGATGCGTGTGGTCGTCGGCACTGAAGGCGGGATCATACTCAATGACCAAGTCAACGTTGGGCAGATCTAAACCACGAGCAGCCACATCAGTACAGACCATGACCGAAGCAGTTTTGCTGTTTGCGAAGGAGTTGAGGGTGAATGTTCGAATGTGTTGAGGCAGAGAGCCGTGGAGTCGGTGAAGAGTGACTGGATTCGCTGGGTTCGAAAAGGCCGATCCTGGAGCGACAGTACCGTGTGGTGATAGTTCAGCCCGTTCCTTTTCTTTCTCCTTTTTCACTTCGTCGTCTTCTTCATTCTCGTCTTCATCGTCACCATGATCACCCTTTTTGTGTCCTCTTTCACCATGCTTCCTCGAGAAGACTTCAAACAGGAAGTCGACCTCATCTGCACAAGAGACGAAGACCATCGCTTTCATCACAGAACCCTTGCGGATGAATGTCCGCTTGAGGAATGCAGTCAACGATACTAGACGCAACTTAGCTGGCACGATCGCGTATGACTGCTTCAGCTGAGCGGGCACGCGGAATGATTCTTCTTCGTCCTTTTTCGCATTTCGAGTCTTCTCCTCTTCGTCCTCCGGGTCGGCCTTGATATGCACGGCATCCTTCAAACTAATCTCTCCCAGTCGCTGAACATTCATCTTCAGCGTCGCAGAGCATAGGATTGTCGTTCTCCTTGTCGGCACATTGGGGACCCGGCTCGGTCGTTGTCTCGCGTCTAGTTTCTGAACAATGCTCTGTAGATCCTCCTCGAAGCCCATGTCCATCAAGCGATCACCTTCATCCAAAACTAGCCATCGAACGTTGCTCACATCCAGAGCTTGAGTATTATCCAAGTGATCGACTAAGCGACCAGGGGTGGCCACGAGGATATTCAGACCTTTACGCAGACGTGCCTTTTCCGACTTTTTCTTCTCGCCGCCGATGACGGTACCAGCGACAAGCCAGGTGGCGCAGCGGAGAAGGTTTTCCAAGACGACAGAGATCTGCTTGCACAGCTCACGAGTAGGGGCGAGCACAATTGCGAATAATCCACTGTCACGACTGACGCCAGCCTCCTTGGTGGCCTTGGAAAGGGCCATAATCCTTTGTACCAGGGGAAGAAGGTAGGCCAAAGTCTTGCCTGATCCGGTCTCAGCTTGAATGAAAGCATCGCTTTCTTCTTTAAGCAGTTGTGAGACCGAAGCTTTCTGAATCGCTGTCGGCGCCTTAAGTTCGAGTTTGGTGAGCAGATGCGCAGCCAGACTCGGCGACAAGCCCAGGTTTGTGAATGTGTCAATCCCATCAATCAGGGGCGCATTGGTGGGTTTCGCTTCCTCGGTCGGCTCTTCATTTCGAGGCTCCACGGCATTTTGTGGTTCCGGATTGCTGGTAAAAAGTGACGATACAAAGTGGCGGGGATCTCGCTGAGATGATTGTTGCTGGGATCGCAGTCGGCGCTCGCGGCCGCCAGAGTCTTCAAAATCGCCGGAGTCGGTCCTTTGTCGCTTCGCAGGCCTTGTGCCAGAAATCGCAATCTTGTTCGGGTTCTTCGATTCGTGGTTCTTGTTGCTGCCATCCCCAGGCTTGGGTTGGTGTTGAGAGCGCTTTTTTGCTGAGAGACGGTCCCGCCATGTCCCTCCTTTGAACTTCGCCTCCGGTTTGATCACGGAGTCGCTGATGGCGAAGTTCAGGAGCATGCCATCATCAGCCATGGCGATAGATATTCCCGGCGAGCGGGTAAGATTTCAAAAGAGATAAAGACGTGAGATCTTTGTCTGGTCGATGGACGGAGCTTTGCGTTCGAGACTTTTTTTCCTCCGCCGCCAAGAGACCCGCAGTCAGGAATTTTTTCGGCCCGAGCCCTACAGACATGCCCTAGTTGCCTTTGGGAGTTAAATCAAATTATCTAGTAATTTTGGTCATCCACTCGTTGTGAGGTAAATGTGTATCCAATGTTTAATTGTGCTTTTTACGCTAAATGAGAAGCAGGTGTATATATACAAATGTCACCATGCAGTTGGTCTGCCCGTTAAGCCTGAGGTTGAAGAATCATGTTGTCAATCAACCGTACGGGAACCTTTCCATCTCCCAAACCGCAATCCTCTCCAGGCTTAGTCTCCTCCAGAGGGGCCATCTTAAAGGCAGTACTTAGAACAGCCCCCTTCTTAGGATCGACGAGGTCGAGCTCCTCCAAACTCTCAGGATCGGCGAGGGAGATGTAGTCAACTTCGTACAGCGCCCGCTCTGACGGGGGGAGCGATTGCTGCTCGGACAGTACACGCTCAGCAATACTGCGAGCAGCACCCAAAATATCATCACGAGAGGTCTTGCCTGCCTGATATGCCTCCACTGCAGCACTCAAGGCTTTGTGAAGGGTGAGTCCCACGATCCGCCTGCGAGCTCCGAGATAAACATTCCGGGAACTTAAGGCCAGGCCGTCAGCTTCGCGGGCAGTTGCAACAATCCGTACCTCAGTGTCAATGAGGAAGTCTTTGACCATCCGTTTGATGATCACTGACTGTTGCACATCCTTCTGGCCAAAGTAGACACGATCAGGCGTGGTCGCATTGAATAGCTTCATGCAGACTGTCGCAACACCGCGGAAGAAAACCGGGCGTGAGACACCTTCAAGCTTTCTCGAAAGAGGTGTGATGGTGACGAATGAGCCGTGCCCGTCGATTTCCGACGAAGGTGGCAATGTAGGGTACATGACCTTCGAGGTCGGGGCGAAGATGGCCGTAATTCGTCCCGTGCCGGCACCCAAACTACCGAGCTCTTCATTGAGTTTCTTTAGTTTCTTGACGTCACTATCCCAAGTGCGAGGATAGCTTGAAAGGTCTTCGTTGATGCCAAACTGGGTCGGGTTGACGTAGATGCTCACGAAGACGTCAGTGTTCTCTCGGGCGGCCTCTCGAATCAACGACAGATGGCCTTCATGAAGGGCGCCCATCGTGGGAACGAATCCGATAGTGCGATCATTTTGAATTAATTTCCGGCGCAATTGGCGAAGTTCAGGTACGTCACGGAAGACTTGGAACGAGGTCGGTTGACGAGCCGATCGTGCGGCAGCCGCCGAAGCGTCCGCAAGTAGCGAAGAGGCCGCAGCTAGGGAATGGAGGAGAGGAGGTAAGCTTATAAGCCTGAGTGACGCAGCTGGTACATACTGGAGAAGGACTTTACGCCGTTCACCAAGCGGGACATGGTGATGATCGAAATGGGGTCGGATGCTGCTTTTAGCTGGAGCCCACTAGCTTCCAACGTCCGCGGCCAAGCGGAGATGCACGACTTAACCCGTCACAACACGTGATTTCGGCCGAGGCTAAGAGAGGGTCGGGGAACCCGTGATCTCGTGGAGTATATTCCGGGGTTGATCGTCCGTTTTGTTGGGACTTTGGAGCTATGGCCTTGTCCCGCTCTTCATCTCTCCTCTCCTGGCTAGATCTTGCCGTTCTGTTTCAACTTATATTTGTCAATGACCCGGTGCTTCTCCTACCTATGAACCAACAGCGACTTTAACCCCCTCGGAAGGCCCTCCCCCCACTCCCCTTCCTTGTGGCTTGTACCCACCATGGCGCCTCCCAAATCAGCCATCAGCGACGAGCATTCTGCCCCGGACCTAGAAATTGTCGGCAAGCAGGTCACCATTCATCCCTCTGGCTTCACGGGCGGGCCCGATTCTCAACATGACACGATTACCGAACGAAACCTCGTGCGCCATATGGCGCGATTCCGTGCAAACCCCCTCGATTTCCTTCGCGAAGTGAGCTTGTACATGTCGGGTACCGGCTGGCGCGCATATGATAATGTGATTGGACAACCTATCTTCTACTCAGGCTTCGGCGAGAGGATGAAAGCTGCCATCCTGGCCAGTCCAATGTTGCAGGACAAGGTCAGAGAGCTGGCCAGTACTCGGCTTTCCGTGGAGGAAAAGGAAGGCTTGGTTGCGATTAAAGAAGGCGCAAACATGGATGAGAAACGAGCGCGACGCCGACATGAGCTCGAGAGCGGTCTTCGTGAAGTGGTGGATACTATGATGGACCAAATGATTTGCAAGATGGAAAGCAAGACCTTCATTCGAGGCGCATACTACATGTGCACTCAACTCCTGACTCGAGCCTATCACCAGGGTATCCACGTATCCAGTGAAGAGGTTCTGCGTCTACGTTCCGTAGCAGAGACTGCTGCGAAGAACAAGCAGTCTATTGTGTTTCTCCCGTGCCACAAGTCTCACGTGGACTATGTCTCTCTCCAGCTCATCTGCTACCGCTTGGGAATTGGTCTTCCGGTTGTCGTCGCTGGCGACAACCTCAACATTCCTCTATTGGGCCCATTCTTGCAGCATGCAGGTAAGTACATGCGTGTTGATATCTGACCTTTACCCAACATTATACTTACGTTTGCTCTAGGTGCCATGTGGATTCGACGCAGCTTCGGAAATGATCCACTCTATCATACCGTAGTTCAAGCTTACATTGATACCCTTCTTCAACAAGGGTTCAACTTCGAATGTTTTATTGAAGGCGGCCGATCCCGGACAGGCAAGCTTCTTTCACCCAAATTTGGTATCTTGAACTTCATCGTTGAGAGCGTGTTATCTGGTCGCGTCAAGGACACCATCATTTGTCCCGTTAGCACGCAGTACGACAAGGTTATTGAGACAGAGTATGAACATCGCTGCACGATATCGTCTGAGCTGAATACTGATCCTGTATAGATCCTACATTAGCGAACTTCTAGGTCAGCCTAAGCAGAAAGAGAACCTGGCGGATCTCCTGTCGTCTTCTTCAGTTCTATCTTTGAAACTAGGCCGGGTCGATGTTCGGTTTCACGAACCCTGGAGTTTGCGAGAATTTTTGTGCCAGCAGCTTTCCCGACTTAACCTCTCGGGTATTGGCAGCGATTTGAAGCTTGCCCATGCCGAACGCGGTCGAATCCTCAGAACATTAGGATATCGTGTCCTGTCCGAAATCAACGATGTTTCAGTAATGATGCCACCTGCGCTTGTCGGGACTGTACTATTGACACTTCGGGGTCGTGGTGTCGGCAAGGGCGAGTTGGTGAGGCGATTGGATTGGCTTTGTGACCGCGTGCGAGCTAAAGGTGGCCGGGTTGCCCACTTCTATCGCTCACCGACAGAAACGGTGGTTGATCGTGCTCTCGATGTGCTTGGACCTAAGCTAGTTGGTGTGATCTCAGGATTGGTAGAACCCACCTACTATGCCGTTGATCGCTTCCAACTATCTTTCTATCGCAACATGCTCATCCATCTCTTCATTACTGAGGCTTTGGTCTCTGTTGCGATGTACACGAAGATCAAGCAAGGCGGTGGACCTACTAACCAGCGTATCACCTTTGAAGCGCTGAAGGCCCAAGTCTCATTCCTTTCGCAGGTACGTCTGTCTGATAACGGCTGAGTCTCGAGGCATTTCACTGATATGATACAGCTCTTCCGCGGTGAATTTATTTTCCCTCCTGAGGGGTTGATTGTCAATTTGGAAAAGACATTGCACAGCCTGGAGGCGGATGATGTGATTAGCATTACCCGGGACAGCTCTGGCGTTCCACAATACGTTGAGCTGAGCGAGGCTGAGCGAACATGCGGCCGAGAGAACTACGATTTCTATTGCTTCTTAATCTGGCCCTTCATTGAAGCCTCGTGGCTCGGTGCTGTGTCTCTCGTGGGGCTCACTCCTCCCCTGGATGGACTTCGGGACATCTGGATAGACAACAAGAAGGCACAGGACAGTGCCCAGCTGGTATGTTTCCGAGCCATCAATTGCAATCGCTTTATCTGTGTATCTGTGTAGAATGCTGACTTCTAGTGCAGCTTGGCAAGACTCTTTATCACCAGGGAGACCTTTCCTATTTCGAAGCCGTCAACAAGGAAACCCTCAAGAATTCTTATCAACGCTTTGAGGAGGAAGGAATTATTCTCGTGTCCAAGAACAAGGAGTCTCGCGCTGGCCCATCACTGAGACTCGCCCCAGAGTGGACACCGGAGCGAGATCCACATACTGGAAAGGTGCTTCCCCGCGGGCGTCTATGGGACTTTACCGAGTTGATCGCCCAATCACGTCGCGAAGGGTAAGTAAATCCTCTCAAGGCCTACCAATTTGTACTTTGCTAATATGTACTTTAGTAAAAATCGCCGTGACGGTGCAACAGTCTCGTCGCGGGTTTTAACCATGTCAGACGTTGTTGGACGGCAACTATTCTTCAACGCCGCAGCCCCAGCACCTGCCGATGTATCTTCTCGGCAGATGCGTCGCAAGGCAATTGGCACTGAGTCGAAACTTTAAGATTTCCGCCTTTTTATACGTACCTCCACACGTCCCTTTCGCACCGATTGTGCTTTTGTTTTAACCTTGGTGTGAACGACTATGGCAGTGACCCCTTCTCCTATCATTATACCCCTCCACTGCTTCGTCGTCTGTCTTCACCCAATACTTGTACAAACATCAATACAATTTGATGGACGGAGACTTGGCTTTTTCTTGTTGCCTTCATTTGATATATGTGTATCTACTAAACTAACATGAAAGCTTGTTGTGTATTGAAGTAGCAGCCCTGCCCAATAGTGACAGTATCAGATCTCGCGCCATCGTTGACTCCATCCACAGCCTCGACGAAATCTGATCCTTGTTTGGCATACCATCCACCAGAATAGTAGTCTCGAAGCCGTTTCATGTAGCAGTTTTCTTCGCTTGAGAACCGGAGTACACCTTCCGCGACTGTACTTCAGTTGCTCCATTCCAACTCACCTACACAGTTGTCTTCCAACTCTTGCTAGATGGGTAAGCAACCACACTAGGCTCAGTGGAAGGCCGGCCAGCCCAGGGGTACCGATAGGCGCGGTTGGTCTGCATGGTATTATCGTAACCGAAACGAGCACGCATCACAATCCGACCGTTCTTATCATACTCCTCAATCTTTGGTGTAGCACCGTGATCTTGAAGAACGTGTCCATTTCCAATGACCTGGTAGCTACCCTGTGACTGAGCGCATACTGGCTCATCAGCATCCCACATCCGGCCACTGAGCGTCACCTGCTTCGATCCCTGCAGGGCGCCCAGGATAGGACCGGTAGTCAGAGCTGTTGCACCGGTGAAATTGGTGTTATAGTTGTTGTGCACGCCCAAAGTAACACGCTCGGGTGTTTGCGACTCGAACCGGACATCGTGCTGGTAGTAGAAACTCGTGTCGAGGCCAAGATGGAATTCATCGCTGGTTCTGCCCTTGAGGGATCTATCAGTTAATGAACGTAACCGGTTTTGGTAAAATGGCTTTCATGGATATCAATGCCAGAATCGAACTCCATTGGTTCAAAGACTGTGACAAATTTCTGTTCCTTGCAGCCCAGGGTCACCTGGTAGATCTCGTCGTACGAGCTGTTCAGGAAACTGATAGTCCCAAATCCATAGCCTTGAGCGGCATGACCGGTCCAAAGAGCAATAACGGGTTCGGCATCCGTATCTGGGTTTGGAGGGCCGAGTAGGTCGCATTGGGTCCTTGCCAGACCAGTTGGCCACCATCACAGTATATAGATGGGTAGCCGTCACCACATGGATAATATTCTCGGGTGTGAAAAAAAGATATCCTGGCTCCATCTGGCCCATCTTTGTGACCTTCATGAAGGGTGTCTCAATGTACGAGCGCTAATAGCTTTGAAGAGGCCTTAATCCCTCGGCGGAAGATTCAGCTGCAGACACGCTGAGACAGCCCGCAAAAATGGCAAGTGTCAGAGGAAGGCGACTCATCAAGAACCGGCTCATGTTGATTAAGAAATTGATTATGGTCTTGCTTTCTTTTAGTCGGGGCGATTTAGCTCAATGTATATCTTGTTCGTCAATGCTGGCCAGAGTATATTACAAGTGGTGTGCGTCCTCGTCTCCCCGCATTTTCTCTCCTGTATGAAGGAAGGAATTCCGTCGGCAGTCAATAATCTTCTTGAATCCGAGTTTCCTAGGACGAGATCCTGCGTGTGGACGCCTTCACGCGGAAAGCATCAGACGGCGATCTCCAGACTGGACGGTCCGTGGCAGGGGAGGGGAGAAGTCTGGCTTTGCTCGATGGACCTACGAGCTCTCAGTCGAGTACGCCACATGTCATATGTCATCATATCTTATTTAGATGAACACAGTTCAACGAGCTAGACGACTATTTCTGTGAGCAGTATATATTATAAATAACTATCCGGATATCAAAGGCCCATAAAGCTTAACCCAGTGCTCTTTTTCAGTAGAAACATCTATGATCGAGCCAACGAAGTTGACACATAAGGGATCAACTCTCACGGATACTCTTTTGGGGTAGACACATAAACATGAAACTATGTTTTGTGGGATAGGGTCGGCACTTGCAAGCGTATAAGATAGGCCGGATTTTGCAGACCGATGTGGACACGAAATGTCCTTATAGCAATTCCCCCTGATGAGCTACAGATGACCGTAAAATGATATCTTTTTGAGCGGGAACTAGTGGTGATACTAGACCGTGTGCGAGCTTGAAAAGCTCTTGCAATGGAAGTTAATTGTTGCCCGAGAGGTATACAAACTTTGCGGGAAACTTTACATTGGAGACAATTTCTGAATGGCACCGGAGTCTCAAATGCGGAACTGGAGGTGGGGGAGTGTGCGCCCCGGATTCTTCTCCACGATCTAGATCCCTTGATGGCCGTGATTGGATACTTTTGTTGAAACTATGTATTCTCAGCCCCGAATACTAAATCACTTCGGGCAAAATGGGTAACTATCGCGAGTTGGAACATCCATTCCATTCGCTCTTCTTACGAAATCATTTCATTAGGTCTTTCTTTGTTATCTAACCACCTACCCTATCAAGTTCCAGAATTATACAGCCACATCTAGGACTATACGCCAAGATCTCACACTCAAAGCACGTGTAATACCAAGCCCACCGCCAAGAAATCCACGCCTGATAAGCCAAACGTTGATAAGAGGAGCCTAAACCCCAGATGGCTGTCGGATCCGGGGTGATCAGAACGGGGCAACGTGGTTGGACGGTCTTATCAGACGAGTTTAGATTGATCGCGTCCTTATCAACGCATGCCTCTGCTTTATCCCAATCCATGGAGCTCATGGCGAGCAAATTTGATACACACTTCCAAGGTTGGTGGAAGGTCTTTAAATCAACAGTTGATTTACCCTCGTTTCAGGTCGTGAAAAGCGAGTGTGGAGTCTTGGCTGTCTGAGGGTAGATAAGGATATTTGGTAATAGGTAGTAGGGTTTCGACAATCGAGGTGAGGACGAGTTGGAGACTTAGGTATATCTTGCATAGAGCCCTAGGTTGGAGATCATTTTGAAGCTTGTCTCCTTCCTCGTGTTGAGTGATTTATCCGATATATTTTTTTGGATTATTTCCCTAACTTTTTATCGTCCTATTCTGCGAATCTAAGCCATTGCAAACATCACCAGGGCCGGTCATGGCCGATACTGTAGGTACACCCATCAATCGTTATTACTTGGGTATTAACTTGTTGCATACAGCCTGTATACAATGCCTCCGAGCCAAGTGGCGGAGACCCCTTAAAGGTCAACGTGAATGCCCAATTCAAGGGCTTCGAGTGGAACTATACCTATATTGTCTTTTGCGGATTCATCGTCTGGCTGATCATTCCCGGCATTGGTTTGCTCTACAGCGGTCTGGCTCGAAGAAAATCCGCATTGACGTTGCTTTTCCAATCTCTCATGATAGTAGCCGTGTATGTTTGATTTGCTCTTGTACCTGTGATCGAGGGTTCATTTACTAATGCCACGGGCTAGAACAACCTTCCAATGGATATTCTGGGGCTATTCGCTGGCATATTCCCGCGATGCTAGTCCCTTCATCGGCACACTCAAGAATTTCGGCTTGAAGGGAGTCATGGCAGCCCCATCGCCAGGGTCCGCAGTGTTGCCGGAGATTGTGTTCTGCTTCTACCAACTTCTGTTCTGCGCATGCACTGTAAGTCAACCTTTGAAAATCCGACCCGATAGTATTCTGATGTGCGGCGCTTCCAGGTAATGATCGTTGTGGGTGGAGCATTCGAACGAGGAAACATGCTTCCATCGCTGGTTTTCAGCTTCTGCTGGGCGACCGTGGTCTACTGCCCCGTGGCCTGCTGGACTTGGAATAGTAACGGATGGCTGTACAACTTGCCTTCTCTCGACTTTGCTGGCGGAGGGCCAGTTCATATCGCATCGGGCTGGTCTGCGCTTGCCTACGCCCTGGTTCTGGGAAAGCGAAAGCATGTCGATGAAACCTCGCATGGCAAGCCTCATAACACTACGCTGGTTTTCCTTGGGACGACGTTGATTTGGTTTGGATGGTTCGGGTTTAACGTGAGTTTGAGCCAAGATTAGTGAATAGGCATTGTCTCACATTTTGTCGTTTTTAACAGGGAGGTTCGGCCCTTAATGCGAGTGTCAGAGCTATGCTAGCAGCATTCAACACCAATACGGCGGCGTGCACGGGCGTTTTGGGCTGGGTGTTGGTGGACTCGATCAAGAACCGTGGAAAATTCTCCGTTGTGGGCGCCTGCGAGGGCGCGATTGCTGGATTGGTTGGGATTACCCCAGCCGCCGGCTTTGTCTCCGTGTGGCTTGCAGCGTGCATTGGCTTCCTTACGAGTATCGTCTGCGCGTCACTTCAAAACGTCAACAATTGGTTACACATCGATGAGGGGATGGATGTGTTCAAATTGCACGGCATTGGAGGCATGGTCGGGGCTTTTTTGACGGGTATCTTTGCATCGCAGTCGGTCGCGGCCTTGGATGGCGCGACCGAAGCCACCGGTGGCATCGACGGGAACGGGATGCAGGTTGGGAAACAATTGGCGGAGGTGTGTGCGATATCCGCATATTCATTCACCGTATCCTGCATCTTACTCTACATTTTGAAATGGATCCCCGGGATGCATTTGCGGGTTCACGAGGAGGCGGAAATGATTGGCTTGGACCGGGTGCAGTTTGTTGACGAACAGATTGGGGAGCGTGCCCTTCTCGACGAGCTGTTCATGTCTTCGTCATCGACGCCCGCCCATGCGAGTGTGGTGCATGAGTCCGTGGGCATTTCAGCGGAGCCCAAGGATCTGAAGATGTAAATAGGAAGTCAAAACAGAACAATTGACAATCAAGCACACAATGTGATGGACGCAACGTTGAGGACCGTGAACAGTGTCACCTTTCCCAGAATGGTAGCAATAAGGACCCCCGACACTCGCGTTTCCAAGGTTGCGCCAGCATCGAACGGATTTGAGAGGCTGAAAAGGTGGGGGTTTGCGTGGCCAACCGAAGATCGCCGGGCACCGAGACCCTGAAATGCCAACCCACTGTACAATAATAGACTCTCCGGACGGAGAGTATAATCATCATGAAGATGAAACATAAGCAGTAATGGACAGCCAGGCCATCTTTTCGGATCCCCTGATTTGCTCAGACTCGCGCACCGATGCTATCTGCAAACTTAACCGCGCGTTCTTGCTGTCTTTTCTTGATCTTCTGGATTTCAATCCCCGGGTAGGACGAGTTGATCAGGTTGGCAGCCCCGCGGTAGACAGAGAGGATGTGGACGATGCCAAGCCGTCTGTCTCGCGGGCACGACGTATCAGGATGCAGAATGTTGCAGGGTGGACGGCCCCATCACCCCGGGAAAGATATGAGCTGACGTACACTGACGCACGATGGTGACCCCCAAGCCCCTGCTAGGTTGGCTTAGCGCGGGTTGCGGCGTCCCTTGGGAAGGGCGGGTTCAACACGAGCAGGGAAGGAAACAATCGCCCATCGATGTAACGAAAGGTAACACCGCGGGGACTGCATTCCGGGGTGACGAATCCATGGAAATGACTTCCGCGAGTTTCCCTTGCCAATTCAGAAGAAAACAAGAGGAAGACGACCCAGTGAGAGAATTGACGTTGCAAGGTGAAAGGAAACAATAATAAATAGAGACCCAGCAGCATCGGAACGCCTGGCAGGTATTGGAGTGGGGCAGTTCTCTTGACGGGGCACTACGTCAAGCGCAGTTTTGGGGAGGGAACAAGTAAGAAAAAACTAACAACAAAATTACCAAAATCGACCGAGAAAGTGAAAAAAGTCTAAGGCCAACGGGGCCGAAGAGCCTAAATTACAGTGCCCGGTCATGCATCGTCACGGTATGGTACCTTGCCCTATGCGGCTATCGTGGACCCACTGTGCCACCCGCCGTTAACCAGTCTTGTGTAAGGCCAGCCACCAAGGACGGTGGTCTCGCCCGTCGTCACGTATTGTATTTGCCTCCCGCTGTCGCGTCGCCGTTTTGAGACTCCCAGAGACACTCCTTATCTCTTGCTCTAGTCTTTCTCTCCACGTCCTTCCACCCCCCTCGTACTTTCCTCCTTTCAAAGACCCTTCGCCTTCCTGTCACTCGTTCAAAACTGCGGCTTTATCCTCCTGCCCTTCTGGCTCCGTTTGCGCGTTTGAGAAGGCCGATTCTGTGTCCCTTCGACCCCCATTCGCTCTTATCTGGTCGCCGGCTGGTCATGCTCGGTCGATAGTCTCGAGTCCAAATGGGCAAGTGTACGTTTCGCCCCAGTCTTACTTTGAGTTCAAATCGCAAAGGAATATCCCCAGACACTAACGTTGGGTCATGTAGGGCGTTATGGCGTCGTCCTGGACGCTGGATCGTCTGTATGTCGAATCCGATCCCAAGAATCACCCCGACTCCCACCCTCTCGATATCAGCCACTGATCTGCAATCGTATAGGGGACTCGTGTACACGTTTATCGTTGGTTGCGCAATGCGGCGGCTCGTAAGAAGGCCGATGTGAATGACTTGAAATCGCTTCCCGAGATCAAAACAAAGGAGGAGTGGGTGAAGAAGATTCATCCCGGTAAGCATTCACCGGCTGCGGATAGCTTGAGCAATACTGACCCGGCACTCTTCAAAAAGGTGTCTCTTCCTTCGCCGATCGACCCGAGTCTGTCGGGACTGAGCACCTGGCGGAACTCCTGGATCATGCGAAGAGCATTGTCCCTCTGGAGGATGCCAGAGATACCCCGATTTTCCTACTTGCGACGGCTGGCATGCGACTCCTCGGAAACCTTGAGCGACAACTTCTTCTCGATCAAATCTGCAGCTATGCCCGCGCCAATACCGACTTCCTACTCCCCGACTGCGGCGTCCATATCCAGGTTATCCCGGGTGTGACGGAAGGACTATATGGATGGATTGCGACAAATTATCTGATGGATGCTTTCGATGCGCCGGAGAAACACGACCACGGCAAAGGACATCACACTTATGGATTCTTGGATATGGGAGGTGCTTCGGCCCAAATCGCATTTGCGCCGAACGCCACGGAGACGGAGAAGCACGCCAATGACCTGACTCTGCTTCGCCTCAGGAATATCGATGGCTCGGTTCAAGAGCATCGGGTCTTTGTTACCTCGTGGTTAGAATTTGGCGTGCATGAAGCTCGACGTCGTTACGTGGAGGCGTTGCAGGCCGCGGCGGGCCCCGAGGCCCTAGAGCTGCCAGACCCCTGTCTGCCGGAGGGGCTGCGCACTACGTTGGACGGCAAGGATGTTGTGCCTACCTCCGCTGCGGGGCCTTCTTTACTCGGTACTGGCAGGTTCGACGAATGCCTGCGGCAGACTTATCCTCTCCTGGACAAGGATGCACCTTGCTCGGATCATCCTTGTCTTCTCCACGGCATTCACGTCCCGGCTATCGACTTTGACGTGAACCACTTTATCGGCATCAGTGAATACTGGCATACGACTCATGAGATCTTCGAAATGGGATACAAGGATAAGGCCTACGACTTCAACACATATCAAGAGCGGGTCAAGTCTTTCTGTTCGCAGGACTGGGCGTCAATTGAGGATGGTATCCATCAAAATAAGTGGGGAAAGAAGGTCGACCAACAGAAGGCCAACGAGGTGTGCTTCAAGGCTTCGTGGATTATTAATATGTTGCACGATGGCATCGGAGTGCCTCGCGTTGGCCTTGAAGATACCTCGGGCTCGCTTCACAACGGTACTAAAGAAGTCCTGGCTCATACTAAAGAGAAAGGCTATTTGGATGCTTTCCAGGCAGTGAACAAGATAGACTCAACCGAAGTGAGCTGGACATTGGGCAAGATTGTTCTCTACGCTTCCTCACAAGTACCCGCCGAGGCCGAGGAGGCGGCTCTGCCTGTTGGCTTTGGCAGCAATGTCCCTGGCATTCCCTCAGACTTCCAGTACCCCAGCGTGGAGTTACTTCCCGATTCTGAGGGATTCCACAGTGAACACTGGCATGATGCGCTGTTTGATGGAGACTCCCCACGCCGAATTCCCGGGATTCTATTGTTCCTCCTCATCATTATTGTGGCTGGCTTCTTCCTATGCGGCCGTAGCCGACGCTCTCGCATCTATCTGAAGATCAACAATCTGCTTCGTCGTGGTGGACCATCTCACCCCAACCACCCGAAGAAGCGGAAGGGATTCGGGGCAATGTTGCCATTCTTGAATCGGAGCGGCGCTGCGTACGAGCGTATCATGGAAGAGGGCGCGCAAGATTTTGAGCTTGGTGTGACCGACTCCGACAACAGTGATACGGACCCGGGGCGGCCTTCCGAGGGTGATGCAATGGGTATGCGACCGCCGAAGCGAGCATCTAGTTGGGGAAGCAGCAGCAACACGCCCAGCTTGAAATATACACTCGACAACACCTCATCGGGCACCATCGGCTTAGGGATCAGTGGTGGCTCTGGGATTGCCATGGATCGGGCTGGCTTGGTGGTCAGGACCGAAAGCCGAGACCATCTCGCAGCCCCCATAGCGTTAGGGCCCACTACTAATGGCCGGCGGTCGAGAGCCACCAGTCCCACACGGTCTCACCATCAAAAATCTCCCAGCATGAGTCCCCTTGCCGATGATTAACGTCGCTGACGCTTCTTGAACTGAATAATGCTTCTCAATTTTCGACATGTTTCTTGTCTTTCCTGCGTTTGCATCGCATTATCAACCGGAGTTGACTGATTGGACCGCAAGTGCTAGTGTTTGATTCTAGCGCAACGCTTCTTGCTTAACCCCCCTTCCGTTGACGGGGAGCTTTGTCTTTCAGGTATTGCTGTGCTGTGAGCAGCATAGGCTTTCATTCTTGGTCCCATATTCAACCGTGTGTGCTCTGGAGTACTTTTCTTGTCTTGGTGCTTGCTTAACTGATCCGGGTGATTTCGATGTATTGGCGGTGTACCACTAGCACTATGCTACAGATGTTTTTAATGAATATAGACTAATACATTGCTCAAATTCAAAGGCTTCTTTGTCCTAAAATGTAGACGACTGTTGCCCTGCAAATTCCTTAATGGTAAACTAGTGTACTGTAGAACGTTTTTCATTTAGGGATTGAGGCGGAAGAAGTAACCATAGCTATCACGTGTGCTCCTTACATGATTCCGACCGCCCGGCAGAAAGGGCTGCGGTTGGAGGTGCTTTCTGGAGAAACTGCGACAATCTTCTCGCATCCATTGCAGCTCTATTATAACTCGCAGCTTTCTTGTGTTTCATTTCCTTCGCGTTCTTTCATATGCACCACCGATAGACTCGCTTACTTGGACCCCTGCCCGCTCTTCGAACCTCGACTACAGCCACCGCCGCCATGCGCTTGACCGTCGAGCTCATCCAGAATTCCCTCTCATACATTAATCCGCTCAAAGACCGCGAGCTGGATCTCCGAGGTGCGTTTGACTGCTATACCACCCACCTGAAAAGAACAGGTACTACTTCTTGAAATAAGAGCTGGATTGATATCGTCTTTGTGCGTCGCGTGTAGGGCATAAGATCCCCGCAATTGAGAACTTGGGTATTGCCAAGGTGAGTGATGCATTCTGCGGGACTTGCTATGAGCTTTCTCCATCTAGTCTGCTAGACTGGCAGCTGCTGGCTTTGAGGTCATCATTCTTTTGGGGCTCTGTGCTAAGCGTCTCATAGGACCAAGATGCTATTGATTTCACGGACAACGACCTCTCTTCCCTCGGGAACTTTCCTTTCTTCCCTCGTCTTCGTTCCCTCCTCCTTGCGCGCAACCGAATCAATCATATCCAACCAAACTTGGGATCGTCAATCCCGTCTTTGACCTCCCTGGTGTTGACGTCGAATAACCTGTCTGAACTGGCGGATGTCGAATCGCTACGCTCTCTTCACAAACTCACACACCTGGTTCTGTTGGAGAACCCTATCACACGGAAGGAGGTAGGTGAACTCGACCTTTGACAGGAAATTTTTGGTTTCTCAGTTGGCGGATGATCTGACTCACGTTTTAGAATTATCGGTACTGGATTATCTGGCTGGCACCCTCCGTGCGATTCCTCGACTACCAAAAAGTGAAGGATGTTGAGCGCCAAAAAGCTAAGGAGCTGTTCGGAACAGTAGAGCAGCCTGCTGCCCTCGCCTCCAAGATCATGGGTATCAAGTCCCGGGCTTTCGATGCCTCCAGCGCCGCCGCGACCACCGGCACAACCGACAAGGCTATCCGAGTCAAACTCACCGACGCCGAGAGAAAGCGCGTGGAGAAGATGATCCGTGAGGCCAAGAGCTTGCAAGAGATCACGCGACTAGAGAAGGAATTGAATGAGGGGCGGATACCCGGCGGAGCTCTCGGTGCTAGTGATGCTGATGGCGATGAGAAGATGCAAATGTGAGGGGTTTCACGTCTTGCGGGAGATACTTTCCTTGAACATATCATACTTGTCTCGTTTTTTTTGTTTCTTGGGTTTTCAATCTGCTTTTCCGGGCTCGGCTTTCTTTTTCCGTCATGGTCGTTGGGAATCTCATATTATACCTGGCTTTTCAGGGTTGTGTGTGGGTATCATTCTGGGGGATCTTTTTTCATTGCTTGCCATGGGTGCTTATGTGGTTTATTCACGCTTCGAGAACTAGCATTATGGAGGTAGAGCTTCATACCCTTAAAAGCCTTTTATGATGCTTGAAAGTTCCGTAGAGTTCGTGGTCATGCTGATACTCTTCGAGCTAGAGGCAACACACGTAAGTCGTAGGTATGCTGCAACCCTTCACCCTCGTTAGTCGGCTCAGGTGGATTTAATTCAAGGCGGTTACCCTTGAATGACGGTGGACGTCGCCATTGGAAGGTTTTATCAGGGATGGTCGTAGTACACAATATGATAAGGGAGATACCTATAGTAAGGACTGGCTGCCATATTTGTGGTCAACGTGCTGATATATATCACACGGTAAGCGTAGAACCGTTGTCGTTCAATCCGATTGAAACTCAAGCCTTGGGGAACAGAGATCAAGGTCACGATCCACAACTTGCATAGGGTTTTCCAGTTTGGTAAGTATGTGACTGACACCTACATATCTAGACTTTACCCCAGCTTGAACAGATCCTGCCAAAATACCCTGCTGTAGCTCCACATTGAGGCCACCAAAAAGTAATACAATGATTTTAAATTAGAGGCGCCAAGTAATTTGCGAAGAAAGTATGTCTCAATTCTAGACACTCCGTGACCTGCCCCCCCGCCCCACATATCCGAGTTGGACGTGTGTGGTCAACAACGCATTGGATTCTGTACTCCGTACAGTGTACACACAAGTGGGCATTGCGGCTACCAGGCCAATTTAGAAAACCCGCCAATGGCAGTCACACGGGACAACTTATATATCGACGCAATCTCGCGAGCAACTCGGCAAAAGCAAATTTCCACAATTCGTATACTCCGTACTGGTAGTCCATAGTTAGGTAAAGCCACCAGTAGCTAAGCACGAAAACAAAGGTCACGTGGCTAAAAGCAAACCGGAGGGCGCCAACGGAACCGCGCTCGGAGAAAGAACCCAAGATGGAAAATTCCAATGAGATTCGAAGCCTTGATTCTCCCTTTCCAAGAGGCCCGAGCCACTTCTTCGGAAGAACCGTAAGGAACGTGCGGCAGAAGTCCGGGAGAACAGCCATCTCAGTTCGCCGCCAAGGGGGAAAGGGGGCCGGCGAAAGTCATAGTTGCAGTTTTACACGCTTGGTCAGTGGAGATTAGGGTTCGTCGGAACTCCCCTAGCGGAAGAGCGCTGGTGCGGACTGCCCACACTAAGTGCATCTATAGTTCGTGGCGTGAGCATCCCTGCCCTATCGAGCGAGGTGATGACCTGTGCTCGCCTTAGGGATTCGAAAAACAAGAAGTGATTTCCAAGTGTGCCTTGACGAAATACAGCAAGTAAATTGCCAGTTGGAGGCCCTGCTTGATCGTCAGCAGTAATCTTACTGTTGTCTGTCTCACAATGTTCATGATCATCAAAACGTGATGTTGCGACTCAATTTTGGGTCCGTCGTATTCCGCCCTATTGCCCCTCGCTGATGTGCAGGCTGTACAGTACATGTGCGTATCGGACAACAAGTGCCCGCTCTTTACTAAGGGACAATTGCATAATTAGCAGGGTGAAAGTTTCGAAGCCATATTCCCAAAGCATCGATGGTGCGACCATTCCAAGATCATGGTCCAGAAGTTCTGGTGGAAGTCAAAGTGGAGCCGATGGGAACGTCCCCACCAAGTCGGAGTACTAGTGGATGCCCTACTGTAGATGTGCGGAGGACGGAGGACGGAGTACATACATGCTCTACGTAGTCAATGTTGCAAAAATGTTGAGGAAGGAAAGACGTATAGTGATAAACATTTCCCCTCAAGGTTCAATAATGTTAGGCACCGGGTTTGGTACTATTTGTGCAAACTCTTATAGTTCCGATCAAACCTTAAGGTGACATCTCGGCAACCAGAAACTCTGTTTTCCAGTGCCCGCATTATACGAAACACAAATTCCGACAGTCTGGGTGATGCTTTTTCCCTTATTGCCTTACCAAGAATACATTACCTCAAATCAATCCCCTTTCTCTCTCGTTTCCTTCAAACCTAACCTTTTACCACTTCCCTCGACGGATGGGCCACCGTCTCGACTAAGTCGCCGCCATGGCTTCTGATACAATCACACCGGTGATGGCGCCGCCAGCTGGGCAGACATCTAATTTCGTCAATCCGGATTATAACGGCGCTAGATTCGTGGCAGTCAATTGCATCTTTCTGCCATTGGCTGTACTTGCACTGGCAGTGCGGACATGGACGCGATTGTTCGTTGTGCGAAGCTTCCGTGTGGATGACTGTGAGTATCCGCCGATCCTTTCTTGCATGGGGTCAATTACTAAAACCTGGCAGATCTGATGATTCTTGCTACTGTACGTGGCTTTGCAATGACTATGGATTAGATATATTGCAAAGTTTTGCTAATAGAAGGCATGGCATTTGCAGTTATTATCATGCGTTCTTACTGGAGTAACCTTGGAAAGTGAGTAGTCACTACCTTCAATAGGGCAGCACAAGGCATATATGCTAATTAGTGCAGTGCTTAATTGGGGTTTGGGAAGGCACATGTGGGATGTGGAACTGGTTCGGTTCTCACCAATGTTTTCTAAGGTTTGCGACTCGAACTACTGCCTAATTACACTAGCATGCTAACGTGTCAACTGTGATCTAGCTGAACGTCATTGCCGCCATCATTTATTGCGCCGCAACTGGCTTCACCAAGGTCTCCGTTCTCGTGTTCTACCTCCGTATTTTCCCAAGTCGCAACTTCCACATCGCAGTCTGGTCAATCGTCTTCATCGCCGCTGGTTACAGCTTTGCTAGTATCCTCGCCAATATTTTCAGCTGCAATCCAATCGCTAAATCCTGGGACTTGTCTATCACAACTGGTTCCTGTATGAACAGGCCGGTGTTTTACTTCGCTAATGCAGGATTGGGCATATTTACAGACTTTGCGACTGTCGCAGTCCCAGTGTATGTTGCTCTCGGTGAGACCCGAGTGGAAGTGTTGCTGACCTATTCTCTACTTGAAGACCATGGCTTCGTCGACTACAAATGCCTATCCGTCAGAAAATTGCCGTTGGCGGTATCTTGGCCATGGGTTGCTTGTAAGTCGCGGTCGTTCCAATGCAACTATGCGACTACCAGTTCTGACTCCAGTCAATACAGTGTTGGAATCGTTAGCTGCATTCGTCTCGGCAGTCTTTACACTCTCCTCAAAAGCCCCGATCTCACCTGTAAGAGCCACACTGCCTTTGCACCGTGACTTCCAATTTCCTAACCTGCTGTCTAGGGACGACTACCGACGCGCTCATGTGGTGCGTTATCGAGCTCAACCTCGGAATCTTTGGCGGCAGCGTCACAGCCATCAGACCGTTCGTTCGCAAATACTTCCCCAGCCTATTGGGCCTGTCATCTGGAGGTGGATACTACTCCTCTCAATCGCGATCTCACAAGCACGGACATCCCCTCGGGTCGATCCCTCATAGCGACCGAGTTAACTTCACTAATCAAGACAATCAATACACGACCACACTCACTACACTAAGAGGTGCACCAGACAACGGCAGTGAAGAGCATATTCTAGCCTCTCAGCCCGACGGCCACGCTAAGGATGCCGATGGGGCGACCGGTATTATTCGAACCGTCGAGTTTGATGTGGAAAACAGCTCCACTGCTGCTGCATGAGCCTCTTATGCTTCTTGTACCTCCATTTTCTTATATCTATCTAGGAGTCTATTGACATATAGACCTGACGATCAACAATTAATATATATGATGACCAATAATTGTTCAAATAGTTCTCGATCGGTTGGTTGCCTTTTCCGATGTAAATCAACTATCGTTAGATTATTCGTCACAGTACGAACCTTCCAAAGTGGATCCGGCCTACCTTAGCAATCCCGCTTGCCCCCTGAGTGGCAACAAACCAACCCACTTTACGAACATGAAGAACCTACCGAAGTTGTTATTGACCCATGTGCAGAAAGATGGCAGGGATCATAATGAATCATGAAAGCAACTCTTAGTCTCAAATTCTGAATCAATCTTACTTTATTGGCAAGGAACATTCTACGGTTGCCATGTTCATCCCAATTTCCCGCACCTGTTGCTCCATGCCTCGCACCAAGTGGACCTCCCCCCACCCCCCACGAAGCTAAGTCATCCACCTGTCCCGATTGATCCCAGCCTATCCCCAACACCGGAGCTAAGCCGGCTCGTAGGACGAAGGAAAAGATTGGCAAAGGACGACTAGGCGAGGATACCACTTGCAGTCACGCCCCGGGATCTCTTATGGTGAGCTAATCATACTGTCTCCCAGGGTACGGGGTACTGGTCGACCTTTCTCTTCTCCAGTGCTTTGCTTCCTTTGAAAACCCCCCGAAAAGTCAAGACCATCATGCGTGTAGCTTCTGTCGCGCTGCCTCTGGCAGGTCTTGCTGTGTTGGCTGCGGCTACTTCTAGCAAGAAGGCCAGCAATGGTTGCAAAGCACTGAAGGGGTCTGTGGGTGACTCGTTGTTCTTCAACGAAAGCCTGATCTATCAGTATGAGACCAACAACTTCTGGTCGAACACCGAGATTATGGCTCCTGGCTGTGTGTTCCGTCCGCAGTCCAGCAGTCAGTTGGCCGAGGGGTTGACTGCTCTCGTCGACGCTGAAGCCAAGTTCGCGGTTCGTGGTGGCGGCCACATGGGTATCCGAGTAAGTTTGCATATCTAATAGTAGTATCCGATCGTGGAACTGATTCGTTGCAGGGTTCTAACAATATTGATAATGGTGTTTTGGTCGTCATGTCAAACCTGACAACCCTGGAGTTGAACGAGGACAAGTCTGTGCTGTCGCTTGGTCCAGCCTACCGGTAGGTTCCGCATTTTGTACCTCTAAACAAGAAGAGATTCATGGCTCTGATTCTTGCTAGTTGGATTGATGTCTACGAGTATCTCTCTGTCTATGATCTCACCGTCCCGGGTGGTCGTCTCGGCCCGGTTGGTGTGCCTGGTCTGCTCCTTGCTGGAGGTGTCAACTTCTACGGCAACCAGGTCGGCTTCTCCTGCAACAGTGTCATCAACTATGAGGTCGTCTTGGCCAATGGCACCGTTGTCTACGCAAACCAGACGTCCAACTCGGATCTGTTCTGGGCCCTGAAGGGTGGTAGCAGCAACTTTGGTATCGTGACCCGCTTTGACATTGAGACTATCAAGTCACCTATGGTCTGGGCTGGTGCTCATACCGTCGAGGCCCAATACGTGGATCAGTTCCTTGCTGTTAGTGTCTTCTTCGGACGATTTAATTATTTTGAATGTGCTACTGACCGTGAATACCAGGCTATCGCTGAGTATGCAGCCAACATTTCGGACCCCAAGACTCACATCGTGCCCGCTCTGGTCCCTGGAGACTCGACTCTGGCCTCAGCGATTCTGTTCTACGACAGTGACAGCCTCAGCTACCCTGATATCCTGAAGCCTTTCACCGATATTCCTTCCGTTAGCAGCACTGTCGGCTTCAAGACCGTTGCCGAGTTTGCCGCTGAGTTGGGCGAGCTGGTTGTGAACGGTATCAAGTAAGACCGAGACGTGGAATCCTATATTTCTAATAATCGAGCTAACTGTATACTATAGCGACGTGTTCGTTGCTGGAACTGTCAAGGGAACTACCTACGAAGAGCTCTACCAGGGCATTAGCATCATCAACACTACCTTCTTCAATGAGCTCCCCAAGCTGTACAGCCAGATCCCCACTGCCAACATCTCCACCATCCAACTGGACTGGCAGCCCATTGGCGCTGAATGGATTAAGGCCTCTAACGCCCGCGGCGGCAATGCCCTGGGACTGGACGCTTCCCAGGTTTACCTCTGCTACGCTGAGGTTGTGGAGTGGATCGGCTCTGCCTACGACGATATCGTCGCCGAGTGGGTGGAGAATACTACCTATGCTATCAACAATGCTACCCAGAAGGCTGGCCTGTACGATGCGTTCAACTACATTGGTGATGCCGCTGGGTTCCAGTCGATTTTCCCTGGTTACGGTGCCACCAACCACAAGCGTCTGATCAACATCGCGAAGAAATACGATCCGGAGCGTGTCTTCCAGACCTTGATGCCTGGTGGCTTCAAGGTTTACTGAGCGTATTCACCATGTTTCAATCATTGATTCAGCTCAGGCAGTTACCTGCGACGTCTGGCGGTTGCCATGTTAATAGTATTGAACTAGTATATAGATATTTGGAAATAGAATCAACGACAGGATGTTGTTATAATCCTCTCAGGAGGTGATACTCGAAAAACCTCCATTTAGTCCTGGTATTTAACACTAGGATTGTACGGGATCCTCATGATCCAGAAAAACTCCATGAGACTTTTCTCGCTTCCAGATGTTGGATAATTTTAGGAAGAGCCTGGAGCCGAACAGGAGGCACGGATGGTAGAACGAGCAAACATGGCGTCTTCAGCCTCAGCGGGCTGAAAGGGACGATGGGAAAGCCGAATGTGCTGATAGCACTGCCGATAATATCGAGGGCTACAGAAGGCCTTGAGCAGTTTCAATGTCTCGGGCCTTTATCACTCGCTCAAATTATATTATCTTTCTTGGGGTAGATGCGGGGTCAGATAAAGGTGCAGCTACCCGAGCCCGATTGCCGACGCTCCCGCTTGGCCACCGGCATACACAGGCAAACGGCACACGCTTCTCCATTTAGCTCCACAGAACACTGTCAAACAAGCTTGATGTTGCATGTCTTGTCGGTAATTTGACACATCGCTTTGGCGCTCGGAATCAGGTCGACAGTCTAATCATGGACCCAACTGCCGCAGCTCGGAAGAGACGACGTCGACGGGTTGCCGAAGAGAATCGAAAGCGAGCTGCTCGAGCGTATGCATGCTTCCTGCCCACTGGCGCTTACTTAAGTCTAACTCAACCTATTCTCAAAGGTGTGATCGCTGCAAAGCTCGAAAGAGCAAGTGCGTGGAGTCAGGCTTCGGACAATGTCAAAGATGCTTGACTGGAAATCTAGATTGCAAATTCGAGAAGTAAGGCTAGTCTTGATCATCTCCTCCGACAATCACTCAGCTTGCTTACTAGCTTCAGAGAAAGAACTCCACTAGATGAGGACTCTCAAAGCGTGCATTCCCACGCGAACCCACATGGGACCTCAACTAGCCATGCCAGGGACAGCCCTCGAGACAACATCTGTGCTGAAAGTCAAGAGCTTTTATCGCCCGAGTCTGCATTGTCGCAAGGCCTTGTCAAGCATGTCGTTGCCGATAACTCACAACGGGTTCAGTGGCCCAATATTCTTTCACGACTTCGCGAAGCGTTCTCCCTGGAGCCCCAGGCAGCCCCGGAAGAGCGCGACATGGTCGCCATGCAAGCAGTGCGTACATCATCCTCATTATTTGAAGACTTAGCTCATACATCTTGACAGCGCATGATCAAACCCAAGGCATTGCACCCTTACGAGTTGACAAGACTTCGTGCAGCTATAGACGCTTTCCCCCCACGGCCGGTTGCCGACTTCCTTCTATCAGTATTCACAAAGCACGCGACAGACACATTCTTCTACTTTGATCAGGCTCAAATTACAGGCGATATTGAAGAGTTCTACACAGATCCAAATTCCAATCTTAGGTCTGACCCAAGTTTTATCGGTCTGGCAATGGCTACCTTTGCTCTCGCGAGCCAGTGGACAACGCTAGAGCGACCGGAAGGATCCGGTATCATTCGCAACCGCGAAAGTTCTGATCTTGGAAGGATATTTCACCGTCATGCCAAGACCCTGATGCCCGATATACTAGATCGATCGTGCTTGAGGTCTATCCAGGCACCGTTCGTGTTAGGTGTATATCTCATGCCGGCAAATGCAATTGGTTCATCTTATGTCTATATGGGCATGGCTCTTCGAAAAGCTTTGACCTTCGATCTCCATTTGAACGTGGAGGACCAAGGTATTGATGAGCGAGAGAAGGAGGTCCGGCGTCGTCTTTGGTGGTCCATATATTCCCTCGAGCGGTAAGTCGGAAGCTACACATGATGCTTCTTGTTACTAAGGGGATTTCAAAGCTGCACTACAGTGAAACTCAACAGGCCACGCTCCATCAGTGCCGACATAATAACAGCTCTAATTCCTTCCCCATATCCCCCTCTGGACCGACTTCAGACATACGATAATATACACTTTCAAATAGCATACAGCCGCTTGATCAAGATACTTGATCAAGTAGCCGATCTCGGGTACGTTTGACATTATAATGGCTTCATTTTTCTCTAACGTTCACCAGGGACAATCAAATGAACGTAGAACAGCTACTGCGTTGTTCAAAATGGGAGGCAGATCTCAAAGAGTGGAAGAGATCTTTACCTCAGAACTTCAAGCTGGATCATATCGATCCAAAGGCTCCGAGCTACCGCACAGTCTTTCATCTCTACTTGAATTATTATTATTCATGGATTACTATGGGCAAAGTCTCACTCGTGACTGTGGCCCGGTCCAGACTTCGACAGCATCTCCTTCCCGAGCACCACGCACCCCAACTAAGTGGCACCGTGAAAAGGCTTTCCGATTCCTGCACAAAAGCCGCCAGAAAGCTTTTGCGGCTATTCGAAAATTTGACCAATACTCAGAACATTACGCGTTTCTCTTTCACCGACTTCCAAGGTTGCAGTATCGCAACTATAGTGACCCTGGTTTCTGGTATCCTCGAACGTGATTCAGGGTACGAAGCTCGGGTAGCATTCGGGCTGGATTGTCTCAGAAACATGGCCGCAGGAAATATGACTGCACAAATGGGCGTCAGATTTGTCGAGGCTGTTCGTTCCATTACAAATGAGGCTGCGGAGAAGCTCCATTGCGCCAGCTCTTGCAGAAACAGGCATGAGGACGTGAACTCTCACTCAACCTCTGCTTACAATCAATGGGCTGAGTGGCTTACTGTACAAGAGCAAGAGGATACATCATGTCACCCTCATACTGAGCCGGGCCAATCGCAGACATCTTCGACTTCACAGCCTGCCGTTGGTCCATGTCTACCATGGCATGCTATCGATGATGATATCTTTCACAATACGTCTTCGCTACCCCCGCAGGATATCAGGGAGGCAAGAAACAACCAATTGTTAGAAGCTACAGATCAGTATTTATTTTCAGGCCTTCACGGAGACGAGCAGACTTTATTGATGGGCCTCACGGGGCTAGATGCTCTAGATTTTTCAGGACTGACAGATCAATTGTAACAATGTCAAGTGTGTCACCTCACACAACTGCCATCGCTCGAAATAGATTCGTGATCTTTAAGTTCATTTCGTCTATACACATCTCGTCAAATTCTTGAATAATCTTACAACCTTCCAAATTTCATTTTAGACTTCTTTTTAGGCATCCTCCGAGTCCTTCGCTAAGACCAGTCAGGTTATATAGGTATCTGAATCAAGATTTGTATCGTATCGCATACTTGTATGATATCTTTTATCTTTAAATAGAAACGAATCTACAATTCCACTCACAATCTGAACACATCCCATTACTTTGAGAAAAGCGTATCCGTGATGCTCGGTCCATCATGGATGGTACTTAGTTATACTTTACTCTCACTGGAATCTCCCAGTCCTCGGGCAGGGTACTCCAGCGACTCTTGTAGACCCGACCATCTTTCATTACACCAAGCACATACTTTTCAGGGTTATCAAAGATAGTCACATCCTCAAGAGGATTCTGACTCAAGACAACGACATCTGCCTGGAACCCTTCCTTGATCTGCCCGATTGAATCCTCGCAGCTCATCATCTTTGCCGGGTTGACGGTTGCACTTTGTAATACCTCAAGCGGAGTCAGGACTTGTGATCGCAGTGAAAACTCCTGTGTCTGAGCAGAACCCAACGGACCGAGCAAGTCGGAGCCGTAACACATTTTGACACCTGCATCGGAAGCAATCTTTAGGGCCTCAAGACCTGATTTTAGAACTTGAGAATTCTTAGCCTGGGACTCTGGGGGCAAGTATCCCTTCCAGCGTTCCGATGCCATTTGGGCATAAGCGATAAGGGTGGGCGTAAGGTAGACTCCCTTCTCCACCATCAATTTGGCAGTGGGACGGTCAACGAAATTTCCGTGTTCAATCCCCCTCACACCGTTCTCAATACAGTGCCTAATAGCTTTGACCGTATAAGCGTGTGCTGTGACGAAAGTCCCAGCATTGTCGGCACATTCCACCATCGCCTGGATCTCGGCAGAAGTGAACTGAAGGTGCTCTAGCTTGTCGGTAGGAGAAGCCACGCCTCCCGAGCCCATGATTTTGATGAAGTCAGCGCCGCAGCGAATTTCCTCGCGCACCGCAGCCATACATTCCGGTACGCCGTTGCAAAGTCGGCCTAGATGGTTGTTGCTATGGGTGCCACCGCAGCACTCCGTGGGCTCATGCGATCCTCGGAGGTCACCATGTCCTCCGAATTGAGACAATGCGTGGCCCGAGATGAAGATCCGAGGTCCAGGAAAGACCCCATCTTCGATGGCTTCTTTAATCGCCAGCTGGGCACCACCGCAGTCGCGAATACTGGTGAAGCCTCGATGAAGCATTTGAGCCGCTGTGTAAGGTTGTCGAAGCAAATGGACATCGTTTGGATTGCCAAATGCCTTCGATAGATCTTTGAATCCTGGAACGGCACAGAGGTGCACATGGGCATCGAAGAGACCTGGACAAAGATAGCGCCCTTCACAATCGATGACTGTAACGTCGCTTGGACAAGTGTCTGAAGAAGAAAGGACAACAGATTCAATCTTGCCCTTGCGGGTGATGACAGTGGCGCCTTCCAAGATCTTCCCCGCTTGCACGTCAACAACATTGGCGTTTGTGAAACAATAGCCCTGGGCTTCTGCGCGTGCCCAAGGCTTGATGTCAGAGCCCGTCACCTGGTCACGGTCGGACATGATCACAAACGGCGAATGCGGGGATATGAGAGGAAAAGATAGACGTTTCAGAAAATTAGGAATTCTCGCTCTAAATACTAGGTTGCTCGGAGTGATTGATAGCTGTTGAGATACGGTCGCACACAAAGTGGAGCAAGTATCGGCAAATTGGGCGTCGAGTGCCACATTCCCGACTCATTGTCGCCGGGCCGATGCACCACCGCTTGTATCTTTAGACTCGGCCGGCTGATCCCTTCCATATTCGTTGGAGATAGGGGACCGATCCACTGATATCTGGGGAGGAATAATCTGGGGACTCGGTGTTATGCCGGCATATAAACTTCCCCTCCCCTCGCTAATTTGCTCTTTCAGGAGCATAAGCACCTGTCACTAGGCTTTGATCTTTCAGTTCTGATCAGCTTTGTCGGCTGCAACCCGCGTGTCGAGAGGCCCTCTCAATACGTTATTTTGAAGTTATAGGCGAAGCTCGGTGAATCGTGCAGCCATGGCAGGCTCCAAGACTTCTGATTCGACAAAGAAAGAGGATCCTCCAATGGATGGAGAGATCCTTGGATTATGCGACCAATATACCCCAGAGGAAGAGAAGGCAGTTCTTCGCAAAATCGACAGGGTCATTCTACCATTTGTGAGAACCGACTCCTCTCTGATATTCGCAGTCTGTGAACCTAATGCGACCGCGATGTAGATGTGTTTTGTCTTCTTCCTGCAATATCTTGACAAGCAAAGCTTGAGCTATGCGGGGGTATTCGGTCTGATCCAGGACCTTAATATGACCAACCCGGAATATTCTTGGTCCAGTTCCATCTTCTACGTTGGCCAGCTTGTCTCGGAATATCCCTTCATTTACTTGATGAGTCGGCTACCACTCACCAAGTTTGTCGGCGCGACAGTGTGAGTTGAAAATATGTTCCTTCTTCGTCTGCATCCCCTTGGGCAAGATATTGATTACATGGATATAGCATTGTCTGGGGAATAGTTTGCATGTGCTTGGCAGCTCCCAAGGACTTCGCAGGCTTTGCGACTGTTCGCTTTCTTCTAGGCTTCAGTGAGGGAGCTGTATCTCCCGCTTTTGTCACCATCACCAGTATATGGTATCGCAAGAAGGAGCATACTGTCCGAACAGCTCTATGGATCACAATGAACGGAATAGCTCAAGTCATTGGCTGCCTGCTCATGTATGGCATTGGCAAAAATACGTCCCTCGCCATTGCCCCTTGGCGCGTCCTTTTTCTCATCTGCGGTGCTTTGACTGTCGTGGCTGGAATTGGTTTCTTTTTACTCATGCCAAACGGGCCGAACGATGCGTGGTTTCTCAATGCGCGGGAAAAGGAGGTTCTATCCCTTCGCATGGCTGCTGATCGCGATGGGGGCGACAAAACCTCATTCTCCACATCGCAACTGAAAGAAACGCTCATGGATCCTAAGGCGTGGATGGTTTTCTGGTTCGGCGTGCTTGTGACTATGCAATCGCCAGTATTGACCTTTGCATCGCTCATGATTCAGTCCATCGGCTATAGCAAACTAGACACTATGCTATATACTGCGCCTTCCGGGGCAGTTCAAGTTGCCTTGTTATGGATTGGGACAGCACTTGTTTTTTTTCTCCCGCGACAGCGTACTCTTGTCATCTTGGTTCTTATTATCCCGCCACTCATTGGAACGTTGTTTCTGTATAAACTTGACACGAGTGCAGGATGGGGCCTGATTGTGGCTTCCTGGCTGGTAAGTTGAATCCAACTAAATTGAGATGAACTTTCGAACTAACTCGCTTTGCCTAAGGCTTCTTGTGTCACGGCAACCATGTCAATACTCCTCTCCCTCGCCGCTTCGAATGTCAAAGGCAATACTAAGAGAGCCATTGTCAACACCATGTTCTTCATCGGATACTGTGCAGGTTGCATCGGCTCCCCCCAACTGTGGACACACAAACCGCATTACACTGAAGGTGTTATTACGTCCATCGTGACATGGTGTCTGCTATTTGTGGCTGTCATTATCTACCGTGCCTTGTGCGTGGCGGATAATAAGAAGCGTGATGCACATGCTTCTACCGGCACCATAGATGTGATGGAAGACTTTGATTTGGATGAAAACGGTTTACCCAAGACTGACTTGACAGATAAACAGGACAAGGCTTTTAGGTATTCTATTTGAGAAGCAGTGCCAGGTATTCGAATAGGAGACATTCAGGGTAGGAGGTTCCTTGAGCATTGAATTGAAATTTGTACACTAGCAATGTCTATTATAAATTCGCATCTCTATATTCACAGAATATACCCATCTTACATCATGGACTCTGACATGAGTAAAACTTTCAGTTTGCACACCTCGCGGCGGCAAAGCCCAGGGTGCGCTCCTGCAGATTGTGATCGACGTAGATTCCGTGAAAAAACGCTGAGTAAAGCTGTTAGCTTATTGAGCTCATTCTAGTCGCTGGCGGAAGAAACTCACGTTGACCGACTACCCATAAATCGGCAATAGGGAAAGTGTCTGTCCCGGAGAGAATGGCTGTACAGTTGTTGTTTCCATTGTCCGCAGCAATCCACTGATCCGGTGCAATATTGAAGATCGAGCTCCGATGGCTGACAAGCTTCGACTTTTGTCTTGTGGCAGTGGTGGCGTTGCTCTGGGACGGGATTGATAGACCCCAGGTGGGTGGTCGGTCACAGGGGAAGTACCCCGTGACGGAAGTACCAGCATCCTCGGAAGTTTGGACCACGTATTGAATGGACGCAGCCTTGAAGATTGCGATCACATCATCGACTGGACTAAGGGGGTATTAGCAACTTTCATTTCCTCGTGGATAATCAATGCTGACCCAATCACTGTCGCAGTTCCCGTGTCCAACTCCACCAATGCATCCTTCTTGATGATCTTGCCATCCAGAGCGATATCGGCATACAACGCCCACTCTTGAATGATAGAGGTTGTACTCAGCTCCCCTTTGAACAGCGTCTCGTCCAGAGCACCCAGCACCAGAGTGCCCGTCCCGTTTCCTAGAGTTATACCAAATCGGCAGGGAGACACCTCCCCTTGCTCACATAGACTATGAAAGAAAGGGGGTGCGCCATTGAATGCAGATACCTCTAGGCCTGCGAAGCCTACGATACCATCGGCAGGTATCAAAGCCTCTCCATTGGCCCCAGCTTGTGCGGATCCGATTGTCTGATACGCAGTCACAGCACCAAATTTGACGGTATCGTTGTATAGTGTACCTGTAACCTGTTTTACTCCGTGTGGTCAGCCTCTCTTCAAAACAGTCGATATGTTTTATGCATACGTACAGTTCCAGACCCAGAGCCATCGCTCTCCG